TCTTAACACCAGCCTTAATAAAAAAAAAAAAAGTTTCACTACCTCTGAGAATTGCTAGGAAGTTTAAGAGCAAGAACTCACACTACTTCATGAAGAAGCACTCAACACACATGAGCTTTTGTTAATGGAGAAGCTATTTAGCCCACAGCTTAAGAGATGCAACCCACATTTTCTGCATTGCAAGCATTTCTAAACATATCTTTCTCAAGTGTTTTCTCCATACCAAAAAAAAAACCCGTCAGCATATCACACATTAAAACATCACCTTCATCTTTTTTATTTATTATTGAAGTATAATTGACATACAATGCTGTGTTACCTTCAGGTGTACAACACTGGTTCCACAATTCTGTGCATTACTCAGAGCTCACCGTGTTAAGTGTAGTCACCATCTGTCACCAAACATTATTACAATATTAACTATATCCCCTATGCTATTTCTCTGACTTTTCATCTCTGTGATGAAAATCTCATTTACAGATGGCCAACAGACACATGAAAAGGTGCTCAACATCACTCATCATCAGAGAAATCAAAATCAAAATCACAATGAGATATCACCTCACACCTGTCAGAATAGCTAGTATCAAAAAGACAGAGGTGTTTGTAAGGATGTGGAGAAAAGAGAACCCTTGTGCACCACTGGTGGGGATGAAATTGGTACAATCACTGTAGAAAAGAGTATGGAGGTTCCTCAAAAAAGTAAAAACTGAAACACCATATGATCCAATAATTCCACTACTAGGTATTTACCCAGAGAAAACGAAAACATTGATTCAAAGGGATATATGCACCCCTATGTTTACTGCAGCATTATTTACAATAGCCAAGATATGGAAGCAGCCCAGGTGTCCACCAACAGATAAATGGATAAAGAAAATGTGGCCCATACACACACACACACCAAAATATTACTCAGCCAATTAAAAAGAACACAATCTCCCTTTCATCTGGAAGCAACAAATGACAGTATACTTGTGGGTATGAATAATAAAATGTGCTTACATATTGTAAACGTATCTTAGGTAACTTACCAGGGAGCCACCTGTCACTAGAGAAAAGACCAAATTAGAAAAGTGGGCTTTTGTAAAAGAAAAATAGAAAACACATAGTAACTGTGACTTACTAGGAGAATTCATTGTGAGTCAAAGACTTTTCTAAGCATAAACATCAGGATTTGAATGTGGCCAGGCATTCCTGAGCCTGCTTCCTTAACCACTTAATCACTTAACCTGAACTCTCCTTCATCGCCATTAAGGCTGACAACTGTTCAGTGCTTTGCCATGAGAAAAACAACAGAAACAAACTTCTGAGTGGTACACGAAATGTTCATGGTGACTCTACATGTCACTACAAAGTAAAGAATCTACTGTGTGTTAAAGACCTAACTTTTATAAAATCAACCACATCAGTGAGATCCTATAGCATCCTGTGTACTCCTGATTCCCACCTCTTGCCTATGAATTTGCCAATACTAGATACTGTTTGCTGACGGATTCTCACTATTTCCATCCTCTTCTATGTTTTCCTCTATATGGCAAGGCCTGCAAAGCTAAAAACAGCATTTCCCAGACTCCCTCATTAACAGGATTCAGGGTGGATTCTATCAAAAAGACACATTTCTGTAAGATTTGGAAGACAGGAGGAAGAGAGCTCTTCCTTTTCATCAGAGGAAGTATTCCACATTCTACCACCTTGTACCAGTTTCACAGGTGTAGGAAGCTGGAAGCTCGGCAATGATTTCCTCAAGTCTCCTGGGATAGCAACAACAGTGTCCTGACCTTGAGAATAAACGTATGGATACATGAACTGGAAACCCACCTAGGACACAGAGACATCTGTCCCTTCAGCTTTTCCAGTAATTTTGCAAGCTTCTAATTTACTGTTTTAACTATCTTTATACTTGAAATTAGTTTCTGTGCCAGTTACTGAGTTCACAACTCTCAGCCTCAAGCCTACCCTGCTATATGCAGTTTGGGATCCTAGAGAAGGAACTCTACAAACCATACTCCTTCCTGATTTGCCAGAGGGCTCCATGCTAGGCTCTGCCAGTAGTGGTGCAAGAGGAGAGAGGCTGCCAATCTGGAGATGAACTTGCTCCTTCCTATGTGTCTCCTGTGTGTTTCCTGTCTGCTGGCAATGCCCTTGAGAGTTGCTTCTTCACCCTGACAAGCACAGTTCCTTCCAACGGCAGAGGATGAATCCAGTTTTCAGATTTCGGCAACACTTGGAAAACTATCTTCATTGTCTTCTACCCCAAAGGAAGAGACACTAGACCAGCCAAGCATCTCCCCCTCTTCAGAGATCAAAGTATCAGCTTTGAGAGACCCCTCTCTGAAGTTTAAAAGTATTAATAATTCCAATATTTTTCCCTGTGTTCCCTCAGCCCTAGGTGTGGCCGCTGCTTCCTTCAGTTTCCACTACAAGGTACCTTAGGACAGGCGAACTACGCTAAAAAGGACAAGATAGTAAATACTCTAGGATTTGTGTGCCAAAAGTCTCTAACGTAGTCTCTAACTAATCGACTCTACCACTACAGTATGAAAGCAGCCATGGGCAATGTGGCAATGAATGGGGATGCTGGTGTTCAAGAAAACTTCACTTGCAAAAAGTGTCGGCTGTGACTTTTCCTAAGGGTTGTTACTTGCCCTAGAATTCTCTTTTTATACTTTTTGTTATCTAATTAAGAACTCCACACTTAATTCAGAGTTTTGTTTATGAAAATCACTCTGTTCAACTAACATGCAGGGTATTTATCTCCTGATCAGACCTGACTGTCACTATTTCCTGCACTGAATCTTGACTATTCCTGTATTAGGTATCAGAAGCAGTTCTAAGAAACAGTCCAAAGATGGGAAACTGGGATTAATTATTTCACCTGCTTGGGTTTCAAGGCAGTGATGATGATTCTTATCACCAGTGGGGAAAAAAAATGCTAGTTGTCCATGACAAGCAGTACCAAAACATTATTTAAATTATCATCTATGATATACTTTCTTTGATTTTCCAGCCATCCTCTTGCTTCTTCCCTGGAACCCAGAGGTCATATCAACACTCTTCTTTTCTTTTCTCCTGAACCAGCTGTTTCCCTAGAGTTCTCAAAATCAGAGACAACTGGCCAAGCTCTAGGAGCAGCAAAGAAAAATCCAAGTGGTGCAGACCTTTAAACTTGAAATTAGTATTTCTCAAAGATGACCTGACAGAGGCAGAAGTAGATCGAGCAAATTCTGCTTCTAGGCATTATAAAGTAACTGAGACACCAGACTTGTAAACAACTAGAGAATTGGAAACAAAAAGATGAAACACTGGACAATAGGTAACTTAGGAGTAGGATCCTTTTAAGAAGTGCAGTGAATGAGATGAGCTTCCCCTTATATGTGAGATAAACTAAGGGAAGCAAGACCCAACGCTTTTAATTCTGGGGCCATTTCCTTTGTTCCTCTCTTGTCTGCTTCAACCTCAGAGCTCTGCAACCTGAAATCTCAACTTTGGAGCTCCACAGAGATCTACTATATACCTAATTTATTTCCCTAGCACTCTGCTTTTATTCCACGCCTACCAAATGAAACATTTTGAGAAAGGAAGGCCTTCAACCCAACTAAAGAATGAGGCGGAGGGAACAAGGTGAAAGGGGAGGGTAGGGAGGGGAAAGAGGAGAAGGACTCTAGTCAGAAATATAGAATGCCCCTTGGAATATGGATCAAAAAAAATCCATAGAAATTGCACCTCTGTTCAGGAGACACTAGTATGTAAAAGTCATTATACTAAAAGATGATGTTCAACACTGGTTAGGAAGAAGAATTCTCAACAGGTTGCCAAGGAAAGCCAGGCACATTCTGTGAGACTTGTTTGGCTTCACAAATCATTCCATGATCTAGGGTCAACCAAAAGTCCCAAGTTGTACTTATAGCCTTAGACTGCTATGTATAGTCAAAAGTCCATCTCTCGATTCCAGAGAACACATGGCATAAAACGAAAATATAGCCTCACTTCTGAGTTACCACCACTTAAGAGGCTTAGTTTAAGATTGTGGATGCCTTGGATCTAGAAGATCATCAGCAAACAAGGAAACTCTTGGCACAGACATTCTGGGTGTGCTCACAGGCTATGTGGATTTGTCCAAGGGTGAAGCTCCCAAGCCATGGAGCAGTATCTTGCCAACGGTGTCTTGGAGGCACAGAGACTCACCCTGACTCATGCCTTTGGAGTCCTGAAGAGGTACAGTGTGTGTTGCCCATCATAGTTTTCAGGGCTTCCCTGATCTGCAAGTATAAACGTCTCTGTACTATATCTCATCCTTTTTACTAACCCTGTCATCTGCTCCTATAAGAGCCTTTAAATATACTGCATGAAGGGTAGCCTTAGGTTCCAAGCAGTAATAAGCCCTTGTTACAAGTCCCGACAAATGGAATCTCATTGCTCAGCTGATATCTTCACATCAACCTACTTCTCAGGTCACTGGTTAACCTCACATCAGTTCCTACCCCTGGTCTCATCAGAGGCTTCAGGCTGTGATGGGGTGGGTACAGGTCTATAAAATGCTCAGAGAACCATGCTGTTCAATCCTCCATGAGCTGGTGGCATTAGAATGTCAAGGGAATTAAGTGCTTATGTAGCCTATTCCTATATAAATTCAAACAAATCCTGTATTATCTTTATGTTAAAGTTCGTACTAGAAAGAAAATCCTACAAGTCTCCTTAGTAACCTACTCTGGAGTGAACCATCACCACTTAGCAAATAAAAATAGGTCCCATTAACATTTTAAATGCACAATTCTAGATAAATAAAGGAAAGTATCATGAAACAGTGTTCCAAATTTACTATTTTGGTGTTTAAAGATAGGAATTTATGACATCTGTTCATAAATAACAAAATACACAGAATAGTTTTAGAGTTATTTTTTAGAAAAAAAAAACCCTCATTATCAGTTATAGTAAAAATAAATAAATGAAGAGTTTAATACAGTAATAACAAATACAACTTTTGAAAAACTACTTACATCCAAAGAATCTTCCTTCAACAGGATGAGGGCCATATTTTGTGATACCAACCGGCAGGAATATCCTAGAGTAGAGGAAAGAGCAACACAGCTGAGTTAACCATTCCTTCCATGAACTCACTGCTTTCCAATAACTATTTAAATTGTCTCCCTTCTTATGTCTTCCATATTACCTTTTTAAGCCTGCTGGGGAAGACAGGGGAATTGGACAAGCGTGTGGGGTAGGAAAAGTAAGTTCTTTAAGCATATTTTGATTCTTGCAGACAGCCTGAATAGAACTGTTTGGGGAGGTCTTCATAACTAATGGCTAAAATAAGTATTGGTCAGTTTTCCGTGGATTTTTCTTTATGCTTGTATAACATCAGGATAAGCCTTGGATTATCTTTAAAAAACAGCTAACACTTTAGAAAGACACATGGAATGTGATGGTGCTTCCAAATCAGCATAAACGAGCCTACCCTATCAAGATCCCTCATTTGCTTGTTTAAAAAGTAGGTAATTCCCACAACAGATTTCAAAGGAATACTATCATATGTCGAGGGAATCACTTTTCCTACCCAAGTTCAAAGCAATCCCCATTTCAAGAATTAAACCTGAGTTAAAAAAAAAAAAAAAGTTTGTTTAGAACAAAAGAAATGTCTTCCAAAACCCATCCTTATCAATAATTTCCATCACGTTTTAAAATAGTTATCGTTATAGACTAAGCAAGATACTCTTCTACTCTCCTCCCAGAAGGTGAACATGATTTCTCTGAATCATTTTCCTACTCAGGCTTTGCAGTCCACGCCAAAACATCTGGAGATACTCGGTGACACCACAGAGCAGGAGGAGAGCTCTCCTCCCCGCTCAAATCCACACACTCTGGGAAAGAGCAGCTCCAGCAAATCCTAAGACCCTGGGTGTCTGTCAGGACTCTACTCTTTCCTTTCAAGCTACCCTCCACCCTCTGAGTGTCCCTCGAGAGAGTGCTTTCACCAACCACCAATCTCAATTTATCTCATTGAGAAAAGGTAAAAGAAAAGAATCCTTCCACCTAGAAAGTTGTTTCTTTTTCCTCAGCACCTGAAGATAAAAGATTAATGATCACAGAAACATGAAATAAATCATCAGCATGGAGAATTACAACCTTCGAGCAAGTACCTGGGTGACAATCTCAAGGAAGGGGCTTAACCAATGCTGTTCCTAAAACAAGGAGGAGCCTGGATTCTCCTCCACAGAACAGCTAAACTATCCATCCCATTCCGGCAGATGCTATATTTAAGTGAAAAAGGAGACAGGCATTTAACTAATGGGCAGGTCTCAGAACTACTGCATTTACGTGACAAATCTACTCAGCAGGGCTTCTCTCCCCCACCCGCCCCCCAACCCCATGCTGAGGAAACCCTATTAAAAGGCACCAAATAGACTTCAAGACACACAAAAATTAAGACCAAGAAAAACCTTGTTTTGTTGTGTTGTTTAGGAAGGAGAGAGACACTAAATATTTGTTTATTTTGGAATGTACAAAGTATTATCCTTCACTAACTATTGTCATTTCAGACTATTTTGTAGATCACCTCAGAACACCTCAAGCACAAACTTATGGCTTTTAATCCAAGTATTTTTTAAAGCAATACCATAAAGATATAGTTCAGACAGTTAACAATAGTTACCTCAAGGGAATGAGATTATTTTACTTGCTAAAACCACTACGTATTATTTTAAAAATGAGAACAAACTGAATAATTTAAAATCAGAATACTACATGGGCAAATACCTGTTTAACCTCTAAGACAAAAAACAAGAGGAAACATGAAACAATTTTCTATACATTTTCAAATTTGTTCAAGTCTGTATTTTAACAATAGTGATGAGTAAAAATAAGACTTTCCCAGAATGCCATTTAAAGTTCTGTCTGATAGGATTGACATAATTGAAGTTTTGGCTTCCCATTAAAATTTTACAAATGTATTCTTCTTTCCTATAAATTCTTAGATCAGGTCCAGAAGGGAGGTCTACACTTTATTTTCATTTACAAAAGGGGATGTTGCAACTTTAATTATTTCCCACTATGGGAGGCTTGCTCTTTCTTTGTATCTCCAGAGGCTTCCAGCAACTTCATGCAACATAGACTGTTACAAATTTAGTATAACTAATGCAAAAGGATTTGCTGGTAGTTTTTGATTTGAACAACAGCTGCAGAAGCGAGCTATAATTTTTAAGCCTTAGCTTGCTGCTTTATTTTATATTTTTCAGTTTAAGCAAAATGCTGCTTGACAACTGAATCTACACAAAGATATTATGGAAAAACTCTTATGTATTTTTTTAGCCGTTGCAGGGACAGGGCAAGAAATAAAACCACGGACGCTTCCATGAATTTCAATATATAAAACTAAAGGTTTCTGGAAATAGGTTTTGTTGTTTGTTTGTTTTAATTTGGAAAATGAAGTGAGGTTCTGCTTAGAGAATTATCACACAGAACACCTGCACTATAGTTTAACACAGTTACTTGTGACTTAGCAAATGCTTGGCAAATTAAATTATGTCAACCCCAGTTTGGTGTGCTTGATTTCTAACGTTTGTGGATAGAATGAGATCAACTCTTGGAGAAGAGCCAGGTATGAAATGTCAATCCATGCTTGAAAATTGAGGTCTAGTTCTTTAATCTTGCAATCTAACAAAACGTCCATAAAATCACTGAGAAGAGAACCTCTGGGATTTCACTTTTTACATCTGAAATTAACAGCACACTACAAAAACGTTTAGTCTTTCTACTACCTGAATATAATCAACATTCAAAGAAATCAAAATATTACAGACTCTATGGTACTTAGAGCAGGACTTCATTTTAAGAAAATAATTATCCATGCTAGAAAGTATCACCAAACCAAATCTCTCAGATCTTGCAATCATTCTCTCTCTCTTTTGAGATAAACTCACATTGTCAAAGATATCCAAATCCAGATTTCTTTGGAGACATTTCCGCAAGGGTTAGAGACAGTTTATCCTTACTAGCCATGTATCTTAAGATCAGATTAATAAAGCTACCCATCACTAGGATTCAGCATGTTTCTAAACCCTCAGTAAGTTTGTTGGTCCCAAATATTTTTCAGAGAGAGTCTGATCAATATTTGAGTATGAATGTATGAAACACACTGCCAGACATCAGGAATGGATAATGAAAGATGGTATTCTTAGTCTATTCCAGATGGGGTCAAAGTCCTTCATCATCCAGAGAACCAGGAAGCTAAGGACTCATCCACAGAAACACACACCTGGGCACCTTTCCCTCCAGGTCCTTCTCAGGAAGGCTCCATCGCATGTAAAAGCACATGGCCTCAGCCTTGCCTTACGAACCCCTCCCCTCCCCCAAACTGGGCTGTCCTGATCCATTCTATGTGCAGAATTTGTTTTAAATTCAATTAGCCAACATACAGTACATCATCAGCTTCAGATAGAGTTAAATAATTCATTAGTTGCATATAACACCCAGCGCTCATACATCACATGCCGTCCTTAATGCCTTTTTTTTTTTTTTTAACAAATTCCTAAAGGCTCAAGTTTTAAACCTATGTCATCCACGAAGCTTCCCCGGTCTTTTCTAGGAAGTGAATATCAACTGTCACAGGTACATGCTCAGATTTTCGGCACCTTCACAGTCTCTGTGACCTAGGCTGAGTTGCTTGGTATTTCTGTGCCTCAGTTCTATCTTTAAAAAAGGGATGATGGCTATCTGCAAGGAATCAGATATAAAACTGACAGACAGGATTCAGCACAGTATTTGGCATATTCTAGCTAACATTCACTCAGTAACTATTATTAACACCAGTCATACTTAATATCTATCCTACACAATTAGTACTTTCTCATCTATGTTACTCTCGGCTTTGTCTCAGAATTAACTCATGCTCCAATTAGGGGATGTAAGTTCCCCCAGCCTAGAGTAGAGCATCTGGCAACAATGCTAGTTGCAGGTAATCAAGAAATAACATGTCTGGCTTTTTTGTGAAAAACAACACTCAGACTGAGACCACCACCAATGTCCCAGCTTCACTGAAAACAGAAACTGGTCTTCCTTTCAACAGGCAAGGCAAATTATAGGCAATAATAGGAGGATCAGGCACCATATTCACTCACTTTTAAAAATTAAACTTCTAAAACTGTAAGAAGTGGTTTAAAAGTATTAAATGATGAGTCACAACAACTTAGAAATGGTTTAATGAAAGCTATTGCCCACTTAATGACTATTTTTTTAAAGATTTTATTTATATGAGAGAGTGAGAGAGAGAGCACATGAGAGGGGGGAGGGTCAGAGGGAGAAGCAGACTCCCTGCTGAGCAGGGAGCCCAATGCAGGACTCGATCCCAGGACTCCAGGATCATGACCTGAGCCGAAGGCAGTCGCCCAACCAACTGAGCCACCAAGGCGCCCTCACTTAATGACTTTAAAATGGATTTTGTTCTCACTCATCCTGCATCCATTAGAAAAAAAAAAATTATAGATTCTGTAGACTTCATATCTGTTGTCTATCCATTTAATAGATGTCTTACCCAGTGGTAATAAGGAAATGACATGATTCACAAAGGCTATAACTGAAATTTCACTTCAGACTAATGGATGCCAAATCTTTAAGCTAAGAAAGAAAACTGCCAGCTCCTTGAAACACAGCTAGTTAGCATAAATTCAAGCCCAGCACAGTAGGATTCTGGCATTAGGCCAGTTCCAAACTACCTAAAACCCACAGGCAAGAAGACTGTCTATATAGTACTCATTGGCTCCTAAGAGACACAAATACCCTGGAACTTAATTTGATTAAATATTTGTAAGGTATGAACTAAAAGTTACATTTTAGAAATGCTTCTTTTTTTTAAGATTTCATTTATTTATTTGTCAGAGAGAGACAACACAAGCCCGGGTGCGGCAAGCAGAGGGAGAAGCAGACTCTCTGCTGAGCAGGGAGCCCAATGTGGGACTCGACCCCAGGACCCTGGGATCATGACCTGAACCAAAGGCAGACGCTTAACCAGCTGAGCCACCCGGGCGTCCCTTACAAACACTTCTTAAACTATGATAGATAAACCCAATGCTGAGGAGAGCCAACAACCCCAAATATACCAACTGTTGCCTCTAAAGGTGAACTGTTACCATAAGTACCACTAAGACAATGTGATTAAATGGTAAGAGTCAACAGTTATAAGACATCCCAATTTCAGGGACGTTGACATGGGACAACAAGGTGCATCCTGGAATGGCTGAAACACAGGACCATTGTCCCCCAGTCTTCCAATTTCAGAGAACAGTTTTATGAAAGCTATGTGAATCTGGTTAAAGGGAGCCCCGCACCAGAAGTGAAGAGCCCTGGGACCTCACACCAGAGTGGTCATGAAACAGAACATAACCTTTATAAATGCTGACTTTCCCCCCTTGAGTGGTAAGACCGTTCGTATGTAAAGACTGAAGACAGAATTCAGAAGACACTCAGCAGGTATTCCATTTGTTTGCTCTCTTGTCCTTCCTTCACGGAAAAGTAGAATTGCTAGACACTTGCTCTTCCTCCCAAATATCTTCTGAGTGCCCGAAAATGTACACAGAATACACTACCATGTACAGAATATCCAGTATAATGGAAGACAGATCAATGATGGCTCACATTACCAGGGGATGAGGAACACAGGATGGGTAAACAGTCAAACAATCCATACTGCATCTGGGGCACGACCTCATGCTGCATATAGCTGTCACCTGTGGTCTGGCATGGACAAGTCTGATACAATGTCTGGACGTCTACACTTTGCTGAGCCTTCTGCATCATTTGCAGGCTCAACAGATATCCTAAATCAGAAAATGACATTTAATCCCTTGACACTGCCCAGGATTACCAGTAAATTTTGAATGCAAAGTGAAAAAGTAATTCAGACAGAGCTCTTTCAAAGAATATCAGTTCTCTGGCTGTTGGCTGCATACTGAATAACACCAAAGATATGTTTGAATTCTGATACACTAGAAAAAAAATGGGAGTAGAAAAAAGCCTTCAGAAGACAAGATTTCGCCAGTCATCAGCTTTTATATAAGCAGGAAGCATCAACTCATTGCGGTCTTGCAGAGTAGTTGCTAAGAAAGATCAATTTTAAAATATCTAATGGCTATGAATGCTTCTGGTACCAAAACTACAAATGTTGCTATACTCTCTTTGAAAAAAAGCACAAAGTAATATAACCTTTATTTTTACAAACTCTTCGGACGAGCATCAATTATACTGTAAGGCTCAGAGAAGACTCACGGCATTCAAGTCAAGCTTTCCTTTATGAATTATAACCCATTTGTGTTTTCTGAGTTGATTTTCAAGCCTTTGCTTTCATTTGCGTTTATTCCAAACTCCTCCAGACCCTGATACGCTCAGGTATGACGAAAGGAACAAGACGGAACAGGGATGAGTGTGCTGCCCGAGGGCAGGGTGATCTGGTGGAGAGGCCATGAGAGGGACAGTGGCCCTCTTCCAGCTAGCACAGTGCCAGCAAAGTCACACTCGCTTCTTACAGCAAACACAAGAAAGCACTTAAGGAAGTTGTCTGGGGCTAGGAGCATAGAAAGGTCAATAGTCCAGCAGGAACACTCAAGCTCTGTTTTCCAGATCTTATCATTATTGTGCAATTTTAACTTGAGGGGTTACTCCCTTCTTTGATACTGCTCCAAGAGAGCAGAAAGCGTTCCCTAAATTGCCAGCATTTCAGGGCAGTAGTCCTACATGAACCACAGGCCACATATCAGGAGCAGGTGTTTTAGCCCAGATTTATATGAGAAATCATACCTGAAGGGACAACATATATACATAGAGAGAGGGACTTTTGTCCAGAAACATGCATTTGAAAGACAACACAAATCCACAAAGTCTGTACCTGAAGCTTCCAAGACTGTTTATGAATCACATGTCACTCACCTGTGACTTTGATTTCATTTGTGTGGGAGTCCAAATTGCATGTGACTAGCTACAACCTTGCTAAGAAATGATTAAATGACTCTTGTCTATTAAACCAAAAACAACATTCACTTCAGAGAGAAGGTATTTGTCTACTACTGGGGTTATCGGAGAGAGTTGTTTTGAAAGAGAAGGCTTAAGGAAAGGGGCACCTCTGGATTCAACTGATAATATTCCAAGGAGACTGCTCCAAATAGGGCAACAGTCACTTAAATTTGGAGGTTCTAGTGTGTTCTTCCTCAAGGGAGCTGTGACATGGTCTACTTCCATAAATACATTGTAAGTCATGCAGTCCTTACACACTCATCTGATCACAGATGCACCAGGGCTTCTTATGCCATAATGGTGCTAAGAGCACCAGGTAACTTGAAAGTAACTTCAATAACCAAAATTAGATCTTTTAAAATTAGTCATTTCAACTCCTTTCAAACTCAAAATGTGCCTCTTTAAGATTAATGTAAGTTATCTGGACTTAAAATTCCCTTTCTTCAATTTTCATTTCTATGATATTTAGCAAGCAAAGAGGTTACCAACCCAGACAGCGAAGGGAAAGAAAGAGACAACACTCTTAGAAGACCCATCAGTTGGTAAAATCATTCAAGTGGTTATAACTATTTAAAATTATAATGCATATTAGGGGCGCCTGGGTAGCTCAGATGGTTAAGTGTCTGCCTTCAGCTCAGGTCATGATCCCAGGACCCCGGGATCAAGCCCCGCATCAGGCTCCCTGCTCAGTGGGAAGGCTGCTTCTCCCTCTCCCTCTACTGCTCCCCCTGCTTGTGCTCTCTCACTCTCTCTGTCAAATATAAATAAAATCTTTAAAAAAAATAAAATAAAATTATAATGCATATTAAACTTAGCGAAAAGATGATCTTAGCCTCAGACTACAATTTTGTGAAGGAAGCAGTAAGAAAAAGTTGTCAAATCTTGAATTCTGTATCCTATATAAGTGTGTTTAATACAATTCAGGGAGATATAATAGTTTTAATGTTTATTATAGGCAGATAAAGCTCATAAAAGCATCTTCATTTGATTTAGGTAAACTTTTCTTGGCCTTAAAACATCATCTGTCAATGCATTTGAGGAAGCCTTAGGCACGTCTACAAGATACTTTAAAAACAATACAAAACCAACATCGAGAAATTTTAAAATTAGTTACCTATATTAATTGCAGTTTCTTGTTTATCTCCTGTCAACACCCAGATTTTAATTTCTGCCTTCAATAGAGTTGCTATGGTTTCTGGAACACCTGCCTGAAGGCGATCTTCTATGGCCGTGGCTCCAAGTAACAGTAAATTCTAGATTGAAAAAGAACTTCGATTACAGATTGGTACATACTTAAGAGCAGCATCAATGACAAAACTGACCCCAAAAGGCAGTCAAAATGTTCTGAGAGTTCTCCTATTTCCTTCACATTAAACCTTCATTTGCAGATAATTAATGATACCTTGACGTGGGGCATTTCGAAACTATCTGCAATGTTAGAACCACTTGAAACACATAGGCAACCCAGCATCCATCATTTATTTCTTGGACCATGGGCATGTTAGAATAGAAATCACCTAGCAGTAAAGCATATGGGCAAGTTACCCTGCAGATATTCACAGGAGGTGAGCCTTCTCTCACTCCACTGATGAATAACGTACATATTGTATTATGGTTAACACAGGAGAAAACCTGATTCTTGACGATGCAAGACTGATGCTAACATTTCAACAGCCAGAGAAGAAAACATCAAAGTATCTTAAGATTAAGGATTATCAAATGTTGCCTCTGTTAAACTTATTCCAGGCCCACAGAGCCCAGTTCACAGGATGGGTGTGGATGCATGGGGAGATAAAGACCCATCAGCAGCCCGTACCTTGCCTGCTGGCCTGGCAGATTCCAGAGCCCCAGCACACAGCACCTACCTCCCCTGAGTCCCTCCATGATAGGGGCACCGTAACTTGATTACCCGACTGTGGGAAAAGAGAACTACCCCTGCTTGGTGCTGCATGGGCCCATCACCTATGTAATCATTTTCTGATTCTAAAAGTAATTTTGCTTATTTCCAGTAAAGCAGAGCAAATGAACACTTGAATTCTGTTCTACTCCTACCAAATTCCACTAAAGTGACAAACAAGTAAATACAAAACTCAAACAAAAACGGAGAATTAAAAAAGTCAAGAGTAATTTTAAAAAACACAAAGAATGAGAAAAGCTAAGGACTTCAGAGTTCCAGAAACTGTTAAATGAATGGGCCAATGGATGCTGACATGAAACAGAAAAAAAGTGAAATCTAGCTGCCAGATTTGAGGGAATCCAATACCTAGAAATCTACCTAATGCTTTTGGATACACTGCAAAGACCAGCAACAACAACAAAAGTCAAAGTAGGCAATATGGAGTAGCAATGGCAAAGGTAGCTACTATTAGAATAAATGTGAAAATGCTTAGAATGAATAATGTCCAACCAGCCCACGCACTCGGAATGCTCCTATACCTCAACAGGGTGAGCAATCTCATTAAGCCTAATCTTAGGTAAACCCCAAGAGTCATTGACACTGTTTTTGACCTGATACTTCTTAAGATACCATTAACGCTTAGCTAAACGTGGTTCAACGTTTCAGGTAGCCCATAAAAACTAAGTGTTTCTTAAAGCAAAGAAAGACCTCGTTAAAAGCTAATGGTTAAGATATGTACAGGAAAAGGGAACATGGCTATATAGTGAAACGATTCCTGTCCAGAGACTTTGTTCAATACTCGGTGGAGCCCCTCAGTGGGCATGCAACAACTGTCTCACGTGTAATCACCTTCTCTATGATCTCATAGCACTCTTCCAACCGTTGAGCTCTGTCTTTCAGTATGGTGCTGGCTTCTTGATAGACTTTCAGCCACTCCTCATACTCACGCTCAGAGAGGTCGGCGTAAGCCACACAGAGAGTCCTCAAGCCTGCAAAACAGCCACAGTGTATCCAGTGACGGGAGCAAGCAGGATACCCTCCCTCCTAGGTGACATCATGGGGCTCCATTTTAAACAAGCATGCTCAAAAAAATTAAAGAAACCATCAGCTTTTTAGGTCACTCTAATTCAACTTTCACACATCTAAAAAGGGAACTGAAGAACAACTCTAGTGCATTTTGCTGTAAGGCACCTCATGTATAAATTTGAGAGTACATGGAAGCCGCAGAGCGAACTCCCCATGGCAGAGAAGTGCAGGAGCTGGGCATGCCCCTTATGTGCATGTGCAGTGGGCAGGCATCAGCAAATAGAGGAGGCGCTGGGTACATTTCAAGACAGCAATAAAAGCCCAACATGCCATCATGTGGAAGAGCTGGGCTTTCTGGCAGACACACGTGTGCGCAAACACACACATGCACACACACACGTGCGCATGTGGCCGTAGGAACGAACGAAGGTGAAAACGCAGCAGTCAGCACTTCGGCCGGCTCCAGCTTCCATCACATTCCCTTGCTGGAAACCCTGACATCAGTGCTATTTGAGGCCTTTCAGAGAACTCCTTTCCTAGCCTCTATGGGCTCAATGGATTATTGTTTCCTCAAGTGATGGATAAGCCAGTGTCATAAGGATAACAAAAGGAAGACAGGGAAATAATCTCATGAATTTTCTGAGAAGAGCAATAATAACTACAAAATGATTCTACATGTTGTGAACTGGCCTGACTGTTCCTTCCCTACTCCTGGCGAAGAGTCAGCAGAGTCCCGGACAGGTACTGAGTGTGGACTCTGGCGCACGTCTTGTCACTGTCATAGGCGCAGAACGCGGAGGGAGGGGGCCGGGGGTGGCACTAGAAAAGTGTATCTTGTGAAGCAAGCCAAGGACCTCACAAAACACACATGTCCATTCAGAACACGATTGCTCCCCCCAAGCATCAGCCACAAACACATGAAAGTACAACTTCGATGGTTAAAAACATTTCCAAATTTCACTTACCTTCCGTGGCAAAATATTCCAGGTGGCACAGTGTTTCCTCCATATATTTTGAATCTTTTGAGAGTCTCTCAAAAATGACATTATCCTATAAAGTAGAGAAACACTGTGACTGGCAATCCCTTCAGTAAACCTTCCAGTCAGCATTCTAAACCTAGCTCTGCTTTAATGCTTATCCAGCGTGCATGAGAATACTTGAGTGGGCAAGAAGAAATACAGTCTTGGCCAGATTTAGTCATGAGCTTTGGAAAACAAATCGGGTATAGATGTGTCCAAACAGACACTTTTTGGGGAGAATGGTGTCAAGAGAATTATCAGGGACACAATGGTACCGACATTTACCCAAATTTGCAAAATACATGCCCACGTTTATAACACCTCTATGCAGAAGTAGAAAGAGTAACAGGCACATCCTATATTACTCAAATACCCTCTTGTTTCCTGACCCTGCAGGAGCTCCTAGACAGGGAGTGCACAGCCCACTAGGCACTGAACCCAGTTCCGCTAAGAAACACTGAGGAACACAACTCAGAAAAGCTCTCTGTGACGACAAACCAACCGCAACAACTAAGAATAGCTGCTAGCGAACACATATACACACATACACACACACACAATCTCAGAGTACTTAAAAGATGATCACAGGTCAATATGAATTATTCTATCTTCCAAAAGTCAGAACCCACTGGTGGTGAAATGAGAATCAGAAGTCAAGCTGCAAGGATTTTGCACGACACAGAGAACTGCTATTTCTGAAACTATTGGCTAAAAGCAAGCTTTTCATGGGCCATTATTGCCACACTGGCCTGAATCACCACTATCTTCAGTGGGTTTTTACTAGCAAGTCAATTTTATGGCCAATCTGAAAGAGTCCTTCAACCTTGGGCAAACTCAGGGTAGCCACCAAGGGTGCCTTACTATACAAGACACTTCACCAGTACTTACAGCCCCCTTACAGTAGAGCCGAAGTTGGCCTGAAGGAGTTCGAACAATTACAGACATTCTTTTTCTGTCACTGTAGGGGTAAGGAAGAAAGAAAAAGTCATCATTGGTCTGTATGATAGGACCCATGCCCTATGGTTAAGCACCCAACAAATCAAAACATGATCTGAGAGCCCTAAAAATGGCAAAGCTCCATTTTCCTTATTTTTTCCTTCAGAGTTGGACTTTAATTGTATATCCACTACTCTTTTTATTTATATATAATGGACATAAATCTATTTTTCCCTGCCATGGAAACTCACTAGTACAACTACAGCAGGAGAACAGAAATGGAAAATTTGACCACCTATTATGCAAATTTAATTTACTTCTGATAATATTCTGTAAAAGTGCTATTTTACAGCTCAAAATATTAGTCATCTGCCCAGTAAGCAGCAGAATGGAAGATTCAATATAAATCCAGTTAGTCCAAAAGCCCCTTGTTGTGTCTTCTGTTAACCGAAGTAGAAAAAAATTAGAAATTCATAGAACACTCCTGATTCAGCACTGAGGTGTGCCTTATTACCGCCCTCCCCACTCCAACATGGACACTTCTGCACTCTTCTTTCATCGTGACCCACGCTCACTCATGGAGCCTTCAATGGCTCCCCACTACCTACAGATTCCAGTTCTTGCTGACGTCCACTCACCTCCACAGCCTGGCCTCACCCCCTCATCTCTCTCACCTGCAGGCCTCCCACACACCAGAAGACACACCATGCTGCTTCTCTACACCTTCTGTCCCATGCCTTTTGCAGACATTTCATCCTCCTGAAACACATCCCAATCACAGTGGGTCCCCGACCACCCACCCCTGTAAGTGGATTCCCAATGGACTTTTAGCTCCTAAGACTGAGGGATATTCTCTCTCCAGCTTTGTGTAAATTCCCACATCCTAACCCACAGCACTGGGTCTGACCTGGATTTGAATTCTCTCTCAGCTACCTAGTAGCCAGGGACTCTCAGCAAAGTTGTTTACCCAGCATCTCGGTTTCTAAATGTATAAAGCAGGGCTGCCACCAAGTCCTGCAAAGGAGTGTTATCAGGATTTATGGCATCTGGAAAAAGAGGAGTCAACTAAAATGAAATAGAACCACAGCTATGGCTACAAACAACCTTTTTACTCGCTCGTATTCTCCCAGAAGTTTTTAATTCATCCTTGGGTCTCTATCCATATTCACCTGTTTTAACCGAATCCCCTTTCCTCCTTCTTGTCCCTGTAATAACCGCTGGTCCCAGTCACCACAGCCACATAACAGCACAGTTTCTAGGACATCCACAAGAGATGGTGCACAAAAGTCCAGAGCAATGTTTAGTGTGTTCCTTCTCTCCACACACGGGGACTCTGGCCCCTACTCCCCTATATAAACCACTACTGTTATCAACCATCATTCTTTCCCTCTGAACGCCCATCCCCAAGGGCTCTTGACCCACCCAAGTTCAAGTTTGCAGTCCTAAAACCAAAGACTAGGGCTGGAAAGCATTTTCCACAAGAGGGTTAAAAATTGATCTTTTTCAAATAGCTTGTAAAGCAGACAGAAAATGTGTGAATCATTTAACAAAGGTTATTTAAAAAGCCCCAATTTTACTAATGGGAAAACATGCTTTTGAGGTAGCAACAGAACCTTGCTCTAGTATTGACATCAAGTTCAATGTTAAGAAGGAAGGAAACAAAACATTAAGATTTTTTTTAATGACAAGGGAAGCAAATGATCCAACAAATATTCCTGGGTCTTAAATTAAATAAACCAAGCTGGGGAAGAATGAGCTGGAATATATACAGCAGAACTGCCCAACTCAGACAAAGCCTCTGACGGGATGGACTGATCTTGTCGGCCTCTGCTCATCAGTTTCCCAGGCCTGGCAAGAGAGCACTCAGGATGGAGCCTGAGGCTCGACCTCATGGGACGTGGGAAAAACCAACAGAAATAGGGCCCTCGTCACATACTCCAAACTATGCAGACATGTCTGCAGCTGCTGATGCCAGAACAGCAGGTCTGGAAATCTAAAGAAAGAGGAGGATATGGAAGCATAACTTTTCATTCGGAAAAAAAGAAAAATGGCCTACTTCACTTTCTTTAATGAAAGGCACAAATTCCAGAGAGGAGAGGGCTTGTGGAGATATATTTACTAAACTTAATACTTGGGTACTGCATTTAACCATATTATACAATCCTGCAAACACTGGGATGACGTTGTTAAATATATATGGAAGTATTTTATTTCAAGTGCATGAAAGAGAAACATACCTAGAAAATTCCAGGACGTTAAGGATTCCAAATGTCTGTTCCTGTCCCATCTAAAGGAAGAAAAACAGGCTCTTACATAAGGTGCAAAGTATTAAAATCTCAAAACAACAGTCTCCCCAAACATAAACCTCTCTGTACACACATCTCCCCATCCCTCCAGCATTTTCTCTCTCTGTATATAATACACATACACGTATGTCCCTCTCTCCCTCTCTCTATAACACATACACATACGTACACCTACATTCCCTCTCCCACTCTTCCTCCTCACCACCTCATTCTCTCTTTCTATCCCCCTGCAAAGGTCTTTTCAACAGCTACGGGTTTCCCACAAGCCAGTCCTGTGGGGTCATAGCTCCCCCTTCTGGTAGAAGCTTCTCATTCTTCTCTAGGCTGTCCTAACAGGGGCTGACAGTCCCTTCCAAGACTGGAGGACACAGGACACAAGCTACACAGGCCTGCCTGAAACCTTGGGGCAGGTCATACTTCAGAATTCAGAATTTTACACATTTTATAAAAATGCACACATACAATTATGTGCCATAATTAGCCCCAGGGAGGTCTGGGGCAACAACACCCTATAATCCAACTCATCAATTTTCTACAGCAAAATGTAGGACTATTCACACTGAGATTCTTAAGACCACAAACCACTGCATGTCAGTTCTGGTTACATTTTGCTGCCAAATGCCTAAGTCCCCAAATATTGGGGAAAACTTTTAGAATTCAAAGCTTCTTGAATTTTGGATTTGCAATTTAGAAATAAGGATTATGGATCTGCATAAGATTTTAGGGCAATTAATCAAATGTTATTTTTCTTCAGGTTCTTCAAAGTTGGAACCTCAATATTCTCAATTTTTTCCAGAAGATTCTAGACTATGTGTGTACCATTTTCAAACTCCTTGATCAAACCTGCTCTCTATTTCCCCAATACATCACAGTGGAAAGAATGTGGGCTTTGGAGTTCCTTGTGAATTTGAATCCTATGTCTGCCACTAAGTGTGTGGCTTCCTTAGGAATGGTGGTAGCACCTGTCCCCAAGGTTTGAGAGAAGTAATGAATGAAGCAACATGCAAATTACCAAGTGCACAACTGACACAGTGGCACCAACCCATCATTACTGCCCTGTCCACAAGTCCCCACCCCTTCTCTTCTCATCCTGAAATACAATCAGGGACCTACCTCATCCAGCCTTCACCGACCTTTATTCCCCTCCTTCTGCAACTACCAGCTCCTTCTCCTCAGCTTGTCCCAACTTGGTCAGATGTCCATTCAGAAATGTGCCCACTGGTACCCCACAAATTGGCACGAGCGCTGTGACTGCCAGGAGTCCACCCCTTTGCTATCCCATCAACCGCCGTGCAACCATGTGCAGCCCACAGACTCGGCCGTTAAGATGACCGTAGGGCCACTTCACGTAAATAGCTGGTAACCAACTTGAAAACGTGTAGTTTGAGGATACTCTGGTATTTACGGTTAAATAGGATTTTAAAGTTATTATTATGAACCTTAACTAGTCAGGTAGTCTTATTTACTCTCAAAAGTAAAGAGGTTAATAAAAAGATGAAGAGGTGCCAATCTACAGCATCTACCACCATGATGACAACACCAGTGGGCTCTCTCTCTAGCTCTCCATATTTGTCCGGTACTGTGAGCAAAGCAGAAGCAGCCCGGCTCTCCTCATCTCTCCCACTGTGTCCCATCAGTCCATACCCGCTCCCAGTCCCCATCACTGCAACGCAGAGAAAACAGCAGCACCCATACGACAGAAAACTCCACAGCAAACGTTACAAGTCTCCTCAAACTGAAGGGGGTAAAGACTTCATTTATGAGAAGCTTCTATGAAGGAAATTCGATACTCAGTCACTTTGTTCTACTTTAAAGTAAAAAATAATTATGATTTGATCTCTGTACTCCAGAAGACAAGAACCTGAAAGTGCCAAGAAATGAGTGCACTGTAGAAGGTCTGATATTTTCTAGGTTTTGCATATAAGTACAAGAAAAATGGAGTACCGCCAAGTCAGGAATAACAACTTATTATATAAATTAGAAGTGAATTTCAAATGCATTAAGAAGGCCTAGAGATACAAGGATGAATGAAGGCAAAAGCTGTTACAATCCATGAAATCTCCCCAAATTGAGGGGTGGAGAAAGGCAGGGGAGAAAGAAGGCAGTAACTGTTTCCAAGCCCTCATCAACCCCTCCTGCAGCCCTAGAAGGTCAGCATTAAACACACCAGTGCCTGGCCAGTCCTAACCAACAATTTACCCCGTTGCCCACCTCAAGGGTCCTTATTGGATGTTATTCTTGATTTACATTTTTTCCTATCACCGAATTTCTCTCTCAGGCTTCCTGAGCAGGGAAACTCAAAAATCAATCATAAAATAAATAAACCCCCTTGACCTTAGGGAAAAGAAAAACTCCTACAGATGACAAAGATCTTCAGTGTCAACTCACTTCTCCCCCAGCCGGGGAGACTGAAGCCAGTGCACCGAGGGGTGCAAATTCTCCAGGTGCCAAGGCTGCAAACACAGAGCCAAAGATCCTGCCCTCAAGACGAGTGGGCCATGTGGTTATTCCCCTGACTGTTGCAGAACAAACAGCAGGCTTGCTAGCTGCTGTACTACAAATCACACTAGCGTATGAAACAATTGTGGAGAAGCATCTCCAAGAGAGAAAAATGCCTGCAACACAAACATGAATAAGCCGAGAGAATCATGTGATACCCGCAGCTTCGCAACGGATCTAGTTTCTCACAGGAAAAAAAAAATAGAAATGTAGCTATCATGTTTCCATCAGACATGCTATTTCAAACATAGAGTCTTCAAAAAAGTAGGTGATGTACAAGGTGAAGAGGTGTCCAGGCTTGTCACTTACTGCTTCTATGATGACCGAGTATGGCGTTCTGGCCGTGAAGACAAAGCCCAGCTTCCTCGCTCCCTTCACCAATGCAGCTTCATCTGTGAATAGAGTTGAGGAGGCACTGACTCATCCCAGCTAATGGTAGAATTCTATTGAGCATGTGTTATTTTTCAAACTAATCAAGCCCACAGCCGTTGGAGAGGACTCGCCTCCGTGCACAGTGGTAAGGACTCAGGGTTTAGGAGGCACTCGCTCACTCCCAGCACCAGGGTCCTGAGGGCAACACTTCTGTTAGGTGGAAAGACAGGAGTGGCAGCATGCCTACTATTCTCGGTGGGGATCAAGTTCCTCCTAAGGAACCTAAGTAACATTCCCATGACTTTCTGACTAAACATCTTCTCTGAGGGAGACAGAGTTTCAGTTCTAGTATGGTGGGATTCAGAGCTCCAGGAAGTGGGTTCAAGAGTTAGTACCCAGCTTAGTTCCATCAGCAGTTGGAAAATCTATGAACAAAGAAGCCAGTCCTCCCTCCCCTGCAAGTTTTGTCTAGTGCAGGGTCTTCTGCTAGGAGATGCAAGATGGCCTGGGGTCTCGCCCTGCTGTCACAGTGTTACAGAGTCAGGAGGGCTTAGCAACACCTTTCTGCAGCTTTATCACTTGTCACCATAACCTGTAAACCGCATGAGGTCAGAGGCAAACAGTGGGGTCTTTGTGGGGCACAGCGCCCCACCACACCACCCACAAGTAACTGCAAACACCCGAGTCTCCAGAGAAGGGGACAGCGGGGCACTCCCAGCCCGGAGCCCTCACCTGGGGAAGAGGCCTGGTAGATGATGTTATCTCCATCCTTCTCGGGGACCACGGTGTGGCACACGGCCAGGAGGGTGAGGAACTCCTGTATGCACGGAGCTGTGGGCTACAGACATATGGGCAAGATCATCTGGTAAAACACTGCAGTTAGATTCAGACATCCTCTGCTCAGAACCCTGTACTGGCTTCCCACCCCCTTTAGAATGAAGCCGAGATCCTAGCAGGGACTCCGTGTCCCCTGGGATCTGGCAGCTGCTCACCATCCAGCGTCGGCCCTTCCTGCCTCTTCCCTCCTGCATGCTCCACCCACTGCTCCAGTCTGTAGTCCCTCAGACAAGGCTCCACCTGTCCTGAGGTTCATCACCACCCTCCACCCACCTGCAGCCAATTATCACTCATCCTCCAGGATGTAATTAAACAGTTGCTCCACCTGCGAAATCCACTATCACCCGGTCTTGGAACAACATTCTTGACGGGCGAACCCTGAGGTCAGGTGAGAACAAAGAGGCATGCGCCCTTCCCAGGGCTCCCCCAGTGCCTGCTCCCCTTGTTCCAACACTTCAAACACTCCTGCTGTTCACATGCTTCCCCCCATGTCCATGAGATCTAGGAGCGCTAGCAGGTCATCTGCCTTCCTCAACAGTGTAACCCTGGGCCCCGCAGACAGAAGGCACTCAAATCTATGTTGGATCCAAACACTGACAATGGACTCACCAAACACGTGAGCCTTGTTCTTTCTCTTCCATTGTCCTGGCACTTACTCTACACCATGTCTGTTCTTTAACTTAATAATTACTTAAAATGGGGGCGCCTGGGTGGCTCAGTCAGTTGGGTGTCTGCCTTCGGCTCAGGTCATGGTCCCGGGATCCTGGGATCAAGCCCCATGTTGGGCTCCCTGCTTAATGGGGAGTCTACTTCTCCCTCTCTCTCTGTCCCTCCCCACCCCTGCTCATGCTATCTCTCTCTCTCTCAAATAAAATCTTTCAAAAAATAATAATTGCTTAAAACCTGTAAGGCAGTGCATCCCATGCCTATTACTTAAAAAAAAAAAAAAATCCTGGATATCTATTTAATATATTTCTCCCATCCTACACACACACTCCTTATAGTTTTCATTGGGATTAGACTAGGACATCTTAATACTGTTTACCCATCTAAGAATACAGAATGCCTTCCTATTTATTAAAGGCTTTTAAAACTTCTAAATCTATGTCCTGGCATATTTTCTTCTTAACTAATTTTTTATTCATTCAAAAAATATCTACATGTCTACCATATGTGAGGCACTGCACTGGGCATTTTATCTACTGCTTTTTATATCATGAATAGAATCTTATTTCTATTATATTTCACAAGTGTCCATTCAGATGTAAGTAAAAACACTGAATTTGATCAATGAATTTCATGTCCAATTGTAATTAACGTCTTGCTGGCTCCCCGAGTTTCAGTGGACTCTCCTGGGTTTTAAGGCAGCCAATTATTGTGTCATCCACAGATGATGACGTTTTCCTTTTCTTTTCTAACATATACACTTGAGTTCTTACTTGCCCACTTGGGCTAGTGCTTTCAGGAGGATGTTCAAAGCCAGGGGTGACACCAGGCCTCCTTGTCCCTGGGTTATTTTAGTGCCAAGGTCTTTAATTTTTCACTGTTTGATAGGCAGCTGGCTGTGCATTCAAGAGAGATTTGTATTTGCACATTCAGGAAACAACTCTGTGTTTTCTAATTTTTGCAGAGTTTTTGTCTTGGGTTTTTAGTCACAAATGGACAGTGACTAATATTTTAAAGCATTCGTAGTTTCTCCTCCTACCTGTTAATGTGACTTAAGAGCAGATGTATGGAAGAAAATAACTATTCACATGGCTACTTCTTATCAGTCTTCAGGAAAAGGACATGCACAATTATAATTCAGTGAAATCAAATAAGTTAGGGGATTTACAGGTTCCCCAAGGTCTATACTACAAAAATGTTAAGAAATTTTATCCAAAAGCACTGTGATGATTGGGCTTCGATTCCAGATTGCCTTCCCCACCTGCAAACCTCTCCTCGTATCTCACTGGCCAAAACTGTGTCAGGCTCCACACCCCTGACCTAAGCACTGTTACTAGAACCAAGTCCCCAAACCACCTAACTGCATCTCGTCCAACAGGGTGCTGGGAATCAACCACGGTGACATCAGGTAATGGAATCTTTTGCTGAAGTGAAAAATAACCATCTCTAGGAATATTAGTTATTAGCGTTTAGGGGATATACTTACAACATGTTAATTTCTTGAGAAGGTGGGATAAAAAAAATTATATACAGTATGATCTCATTATCTGCAGTGTGTTTTTATGTGAGTGTTCCCATGTATGGAAAGGAATAGATTGAAATGTTAACAGTAATTTGCAGCAAAGGACAAAAAGGAATTTAGCGGATTAAAAAAATATTTCTCTTTATATTAGAGTTTTCTGCAGTGAAAATAAATTGCTTTTTATAGAGAGGCCACCACTCCTTCCAAGTTTCTGAGAGTCATCACAGCAGCTTAAGAGAACTGGCCCTCCAAGAGAGGCATTCTGTTGACTGCCAGCAACAGAAGAGTCCCGTGTTCCAACACACTCTCCCTTGTGCTGCTTTCTGTCACGCCTCGCCCTCAGGCACGCTCTCCCAGTCCTTGCTGGTGTGGATTACCAGGCCCTGCCACCCCTTCAGTGAATAATCCCTCTTCCAAACTGGCAGGGCCATCTTTGGCCCTGTCTGCCATGCTGAAATTGGTCCCCAGTCTTGATCTAGGGGCTAAGGTGGGAGGTGGGGACAGACCCTGAGGAAGATACGCAGTCTCTGGCAAGACATCTGCTTTAGCTGAGACCTGGTCATGGGAGCACGGGGAAGCTACCATCTTCTATGAAGGGCCTTAGACCACTTCTGCAGGCCCACATGTTCCAGAAGAATCTGGGGGTCTCAGGTTCTCAGGTGCATCTACCCAGGAGACCCCAACCCTAGTCCCAGGGTCTCCTTCCTACTGGACTTTGGTGCAGATGATTTTGTGAGGCTGCCAATTCTGCCCTTCTAAGAAGTTCTGCCAATTTTACAATTAGGTCTTGGGCCTGCTCTTTGGCAGTACTGGCCTCAGCGTCAGGGGTTGAAGGAAATATTGAAAGACTGCCAAGGACGAGTCTGACTTCCATACAGGGCCTTACATTGGTAATTCATTGACCTGGGATTATTGTTCTCTCTCTCTGATGTAAATGGTGATCAGCAACAACCAGTTCCACAGGCAATTCAATGAGATAGAAACACATATATAAAAATGTCGTATGTGGAAAGGAAAAAAAAAGATTGCTTTCTCCTGCATCTGTGAACTATGAAGTCCAGCACATCACCTCATCCCATAGTGAAACATGAAAGAGGATCTTTGATTTCATAGCAAATAGTAAAATATTTCTGAGAGCTATAAAGAGGAGTTGCACACACTCTCTAATTAAGTTTCCACTTGGAGTGGTAGGCCAGACACCATTCCTAAAGATAAAAAAAAAATCCCTAGGACAAAGCCATTCTAACATTGGTTCTCTAGTTAACCTGACATTCTATAATAAATTAGAGAAAGGAGACAAACTCCATTTGCAGCCTATGGATGTTTGTAATCTATTTTAAACAAGTGCTCTGTGTTTGAAAATAATTTTTTTTCTGTAACTTCTGAGAAAAGCTTTTTATAACTTCAAAGAACTGATTGTTGAAGACTGTATACATGTATGTATGCATATATATATGTGTATATATATATCTTTTTAGAAGTTAAAGCTTTTATGTGTTGAAAAATATACATACACTATCATTTTAACCATCTGTAAGTGCATGATTCAGGGGCATTAAAAACATTCACATTGCTGTGTACCCACCAATATATCTATACCCAAAACTTCCATCTTCCCAATAAACTCTGTACCCATCAAAGAGTAACTCCCTGTTCTCACTGTCCCCTAGCCCCTAATAACCTCTATTCTGCTCTGTCTCTATGAATTTGCCTATTTTAGGTACCTCATAATCATAAAATATTTGTCTTCCATTTAACAGATTTTAATCTGCACAAAATGCTTTATATATCTAGAAATGAGTATTTTTTATTTGATAAATATAAAAATAGAAAACTAGGAATGTACAAAATTGGCACACCAAATCACAGCTATAAAGTATTTAAATGTACATATACAAACAATTTCTTCTTGAAGACTCAATTCAAAAGTTCCAGGCATAAGGATTCAAAAAAAAAAAAAAGTTGTATGATCTTCCTTGGGAAATTATCCCACAAATAGGAAATCATGGGTTAGCAATGTAATCAAAGGACCACATGAACCATTCCTTGAAATTTTCCATAGGTTGATTCTTTAATAGGCAAATTCCATCTTGGCTATCAGCCCACACAAAGCTTAAAACATAGTCGTAAAGGACCCAGAAAATCAAAAATGATGACCCAGGAAAAACAAAAATTCTGTAGCAGATGGAAGTACTCTCTTGGGAGGAAAGTAAAGGTTTTCTTGGTCCAAATGCTTTAATTTTAGTCAGTGGTCCCAAGACAATTAAGAATGTGGGATATCCATAGGCTAAAATCCTGAAATGTTTCTTCCCTTTCCTCAGCCATATTTTGGCAAAATAACCAAGTGATCTAACAAGCTCTGTATTTAAAAATGTTTTAAAAATCCATTAGGTACACTTAATCCAATCTCACATTTTCTGAAAGAAAAATATTAGAGCCTATGGTCTTCATTACTTATAGTTGAGCTAGATGTTAAATGTCAATGGGATAATTCACACAGTAGCCAAGATGAAGAACACTTCAGAAGGCTTCAAATGAACATAGCTTTAAAAAACGTTGAACTTAGGCAAGTAGGCTTTTCCTAAAAAAAATCAGAAAATAAATTCTCCAATCCATGGCCACATTATGCACTTAAGGAACTGTGAGTGTCCAGATGATTAAAATAGCCTTTAAAGTCTTCATGTTTTCATTGATGCTTATGATAACCTAAGTCAGGGCTTCCTTTTCATAAGGGCTGCATCTGCCCCTACTCTCAATGGCCTTCGCACTGGAATAAAAGGAAATTTGGCTCAGGAGAGTAGAAGGTGAGGAGGAAAAGGAAGGAAAAAGGAGCTCACTAACTTCTCTAAGAGTGGGGTTCCTTCCAAAAACATCTGCCATTGTCCATGGGACAGGAAATGCCCATTAGAGGATCCTGATCCAAGCTCAGATGTCTACTCAAAGGTCAAGAGAGGACAGGCTAGAGAAGAGCATGTGATCAGCGATCAAAAACCCAGCACACACACATGGGTTCAGCTTTGAAGAGAACATCTTGTATGTGTATATAAATTAACTGAGCTCAGTATTTCAAGATTCCAAAAATGGGGATCTCAGCAGCAAATAGAGTGTGTCTCCCAATGATCTCTTCTCCAAATGAGATTTGTCCCCTGTCCACTGGTTTTCTATACCAGCCCACATGTTAGGTCAATGCAAATACCATCCAGTGTGGGTGCCCACAATGCCCACATTGCAACAATTATGTTAGCCCTAAAACCCACCAAAGAGATAAGACTCCTTTATCTACACAAAACAAAATCACTTTCTCAGGGAGTGGTACCATACCTATTCCTATGATGCAAAGGTATACAATGACGCCTAGTGATTTTACATGTTTCCCCGATTAGTAGAAATCCCTTGAGTGTTTTTTATTCATCTCTTTCCCTAGTTCCTACAAAGGTGACTGATACAAACTACCAAGATGAATGAATAGAAAAGTGAGTCTCTTATTTAAACAGGGATCCACTCATGTCCTGCTGTTCCTGAGCCCACACTGGGATCCCAAGGTACTCCATGCACTAGGCTCACCTTACTTCCTCTGCTGCTTTCTCACCTACTGATCTGGGCCAGGAAAACAAACTTCCTGAAAGAAGACTGACAGCAGTTTCTTAAGCCTCTAGGACACCCTTCCACCTTCTTACCCATTTACCACCCCAACCCAAACAGACACATTTAGGCAACCTAAACACTCTCTGAGTACTATTTGAGAATACCCAAGCCCTCTTTTCTGAAAGCAAGTCCTCACAGGGCCCATGTGTCATCTGACATCCTTGATTAAAGCTACCCTCCTCCACAGAAGTTTCTTCTGAGATGCCACTCTTCTGCTTGGAGAACCTCTAGCCTAGTAGTTGGACCCACCTCTAACATCGAAATTCAAAAAAAAAAAGACCACATCCATGCCTGTGAGTATGACACAGAGCATGGACTTCAGCAGCACCCACTGCGTGGCCTGGGACCACTACAGCAGCACCACAGGGGGCTGAAGCAGAATGTCTGCATCCCAGCCTGTGGACGTGGGTACCTTACACACTCACATTTGAGAACCATGGCTTGGAAGGTTCTAGCATCAACAAATGGGCAAGTGCAGGGGAGAACAGGAAATTTCCTCACTGTGAATTCAGAGAAAGTCTTAAAAATATTTGTACCTTAACAAAACTTTGGAATGATAAAGTTTTAATTTTATTCACGTGTACCTAACTTTAAAATTTTTTCGGAAAAAAATAATATCATATCTAATCTATACTGATTAAACCGGTTATAAAATGCTTCGATCATTACATACTTTTCTAAGTCAGTATTTTTCAAAGTAGCTTTTAAAACGAATTTAGGCTATCCTATACTTAATCCTGGTTTGTTGGAATAGTTGAGATAATGTGATGTCACAGTTAAGAATCCAACAGACTAAGGTTCTGAGTCTCATTTCTAGATTTGTTTGCTGGTAACTCTTGGCCAACTCAATATTTTCACACAGCTTCCTATCACCTCTCTGGGGTGACTCAAGTGTTAAAGGAAATACACATCAAATATTTGGCACACAGTAGGATGCTATAAGTGCTACATGTTGTTCTGCCTTACTTTCTTTCCCTAAATTATCCTGGTCCAAGCATATTGAGATTGTTTTCCAAAATGCATGACCTCTTAGATTCACAACTGTGAAGAACTAGTACTACAGAAATCTTAAAAAGCAAAAGAAATCCACAATGTTAGAGAATTCCATGTTAAGACTCATCTCAATCTTGATGTGCAACTTTCTATCTTCACCACATATTTAATTCAGCTTTTTATGAACTTATCCAGAGTGTTAACCACATACCATTTATTTAAGATCACTTCCCTGAATACTAACACCAGAAAAGTAAAACTGCATCTCTTCCCCAAGGTCTAAAATTGCAAATTTCAAGACACTACACATACATATAAATAGAAGTGCACCATAAGCTATGTAATGTCCTAGAAGCAAAATGGTGGCCTTACATGATGATCTTCGATGTTCTTCAAGAGCCTGGGGTCATCAAAGTCACATGAGTCACTAGGGGAAGGAGGCATCCGGCTGTGAGAGAGACAAGAAAATATTTATTCAGTTCAGAAGTTCCTTTAAAATTAGCCCAAACCTAGTAAGAATCTGTCTTCATGAAGAACTACACCTAAAAAGCCTATAGATTTATATTAAACTTTTAAAGATTTGGAATACTGTATATTATTTCAAAACTTGAGACAGAAAAATTTAGCCCTCCTATAAGCAAAATATTTTATACGTTGTTATAAACAATGACATGGTTACAAGGAGAAGAAATAGGCAGGGGTCAACACTTTGTCACTTTGGTTGGTCTGCTTAACTCTGACCATGGAAAACTTCAGAGTATCTGCTGAAAGTAGGTATAATAAGAGGAATGATTGCATTGCATCTGTGCAGTCATTTATGGCCAGAGCTCATATGTAGGAAAGAGAAGGAGGCAAATAATTGTGAGGGAGGAAGCTTGAAATGATGGCTGTGTGCTATCACACTGAAGAAAGTATAAACGGCTAAGTATATTCCTGTATCCCCACTTCCTCCTGAATCTCCTTCTTCAGGACAAAGACAATGGAAGAAGTGGCCACAGTCAAGGTGATGTCAGTCTGAACTCTGGTTGTCAGAGTTTTAGTACAGCAGAAACCAGCAGCTTACAAGGGGAAGTGCCTAGAATGCAAGCTGATGCCCCCAGCGGAACCTTGGGAATACTGAGGAAATGGCAGCCAGAGGTACCTGTCTGATAAGGGGAACATGGGAAGCAGGAGGGGTTCCAAGTCCATCTGAGGAAGAGTCAGCCTGCAGGAACCCTCCCTCATCCCTTGCAGCCAGGTAACTAAACCTTTTGCACCCAGCAAGCCATGGAAGCTTTATCATTTAGAGTAAACAGTCAGTCCTGGCTGATCATCCCATAGGGAAACCAGTCAGACATCAACTACACTGTCTCCCCTACACACACAGCCCTGCCAATCAGCTTTGTTAGTATATAAATCTTAAAATATGAGCATACATCATCACTAATCCTAAGAGAAATGCACATCAAAACCAAAATGAGATGCCACTTTACACCCACTGGGATGGCTATTGTGATATAGTAAAGAAACAGAAATTAACAAGTGTCATGAGGATATGGGAAAACTCTGTGTTACCGACAGGAATGTAAATGGTGCAACTGCTGTGGAAAACAGTTTGGTAGTTCCTCAAAAAGTTAAAAATTACCACACAACCTACCAATCCCACTTCTAGGTACATAACCATAAGAACTGAAAGCAGAGATTCAGATATTTCTATACCAAAGTTCGTAACAGCATTATTCATACTAGAAAAGGTAGAAAAAGTCCAAATTCCCATCACCAGATGAATAGATACACAAAATGTGGCAAACACACACAATGAAATATTATTCAGCCTTTAATGAGAATAAAATTCTGGTCTATGCTACAATATGTATGTTACAACTTTGAAGACAATATGCTAAGAAGTGGGGAGTGAGCTGGAAGTACTAAACGAAGGACCTGCTATTTTTTGTTAAATCCCTGTAGTTCCACTACACTTTTAACACCATATTCATGTTTAAAATTTTAATTTGGTTCTCTCTTGGAATAACAAATATGAAATTTTATTTACAAAATATTCAGATAAAAATGTAATACAGAATTGTTCCTTCTCACTAAAGCATCAAGAAGTGCTAGAATCTACTTACCAAAAATCATCTGATGATGGTTCTCTTGTCAATTCTGGAAAATGACTGCCAGAAAGAGGGAAAGAGAGTGGTCACAAAACTGTAATCAAAAGAGGTACTCACACAAAAACATTCTCCAGGATAGATCATAGATAGGCCATGAAATAGTCTTCATAAATTTAAGAAAACTGAAGTCCTATCAAGCATCATTTCCAACTATAATGGTACGACTAGAAAACAATTACCAGAATGAAACTGAAAATTCACAAATATGTGGGGACTAAACAATATGCTCTGAACAACCAATGGGTCAAAGAAGAAATCAAAAGAGAAATCAGAAAATATGTTGAGACAAAAGAAAAATGGAAATACAACATAGTAAAACGTACGTAGCAAAATCAGTTCTAAGAAGAAAGTTCATAGTGACAAATGCCTACATCAAAAGTCAAGAAAAATCTCAACCTAATTTTACACCTCAAAAAATTAGAAAAGAAGAACAAATGAAGCCCAAAGTTAGTATAAGGAAGAAAGTAATAAAGATTAGAGCAGAAATAAATGATAGAGGGGGGAAAGACAATAGAAAAGATCAATGAAACTAAGAGCTTGTACTTGGAAAAGATATACAAAATTGACAAATCTTTAGCTAGACTCACCAAGAAAAAAAGAGGACTCAAAATCAGAAATAAAGGAAGAGAAATTACAACTGATAACACAGAAATACAATGGATCATAACACACTACTATGAACAATTTATACCAACAAATTGGACAACCTATAAGAAATGGATAAATTCCTAGAAACATACAACAGACGAAGACTGAATCATGATGAAACAGAAAATCTTAGATTGATTACTGGTAAGGAGATTAAGTCAGTAATCAATAACCTCCCAACAATCAAAAGTCAGGTTCAGGCAGCTTCATTGGTGATTTCTCCCAAACATTCAAAGAAGAATACCAATCCTTATCAAACTCTTCCCAACAATAGGAGAGAAACCCAAACTCATTTTACAAGGTCAGCATTACCCTGATACCAAAATCAGACAAGGGCACCACAAGAAAAGAAAATTAGAGGCCAATACACCTGATGAACACAGATGCAAAAATCCTCGGCAAAGTAATAGCAAACTGAATTCAACAATACATTTTAAAAAATCATACACCATGATCCACTGAGATTTATTCCAGGGATACAGCGATGGTTCAACATCTGCACTCAATCAATATGACACACCACACTAACACAATGAAGGATAAAAATCATATGATCATTACACTAGCTCCAGAAAAAGCATTAGACAAAATTCAACATCCATTTATGATAAAAACTCTCAACAAGTTGGGTATAGAGGTAACATACATCAACATAATAAAGGCCATATATGACAAGCCCACAGCTAACATCATACTCATTAGTGAAAAGCTAAAAGCTTTTCCTCAAAGATCAGGAACAAAAAGATGCCCACTCTTGCCACTTTTATTCAACACAGCACTGGATGTCTTAGCCACAGCAATTAGGAAAGAAAAATGAAACGCACCCAAACCAGACACAAGTAAAATTGTCACTATTTAGAGATAACATGATACTATATATATAGAAAACCCTAAAGAATACACCAAATAACTGTTAGAATAAATGAATTTAGTACAGCTGCCGGATACAAAATCAATGCAGAAAGGTCTGTTGTATTTCTATACATTAATAATGAACTATTGGAAATTTTAAAAATCCCATTTACAATTGCATCAAAAAAAATGCCTAGGAATAAATTCAACCAAGGAGGTGAAAAACCTGTATACTGCAAACTATAAGACATGAAAGAAATTGAAGATAAAATAAATGGATAAAGGGCTAGTATCCAAAATCTATAAAGAACTTATTAAACTCAACACCCAAAGAACAAATGATCCAATCAAGAAATGGGCAGAAGACATGAACAGACATTGTTCCATCCAAATGGCCAACAGACACATGAAAAAGTGCTCAACATCACTCACCATCAGGGAAATCCAAATCAAAACCTCAATGAGATACCACCTCATACCAGTCAGAATGGCTAAAATTAACAAGTCAGGAAACGACCAATGTTGGCGGGGATGCAGAGAAAGGGGAACCCTCCTACACTGTTGGTGGGAATGCAAGCTGGTGCAACCACTCTGGAAAACAGTATGGAGATTCCTCAAACAGTTGAAAATAGAGCTACCATATGATCCAGCAATTGCACTACTGGGTATTTACCCCAAAGATACAAATGTAGGGATCCGAAGGGTATGTGCACCCCGATGTTTATAGCAGCAATGTCCACAATAGCCAAACTGTGGAAAGAGCCAAGATGTCCATCGACAGATGAATGGATAAAGAAGATGTGGTATGTATATATACAATGGAATATTATGCAGCCATCAAAAGGAATGAAATCTTGCCATTTGCAACAACGTGGATGGAACTGGAGGGTATTATGCTGAGCAAAATAAGTCAATCAGAGAAAGACATGTATCATATGACCTCACTGATATGAGGAATTCTTAATCTCAGGAAACAAACTGAGGGTTGCTGGAGTGGTTGGGGGTGGGGGGGGATGGGGTGGCTGGGTGATAGACACTGGGGAGGGTATGTGCTATGGTGAGTGCTGTGAATTGTGTAAGACTGTTGAATCACAGACCTGTACCTCTGAAACAAATACATTATATGTAAAAAGATAGCAGGAAGGGAAGAATGAAGGGGGGAAATTGGAGGGGGAGATGAACCATGAGAGACTACGGACTCTGAGAAACAAACTGAGGGTTCTAGAGGGGTGGGGGATGGGGGGATGGGTTAGCCTGGTGATGGGTATTAAAGAGGGCACATATTGAATGGAGCACTGGGTGTTATATGCAAACAATGAATCATGAAACACTGCATCAAAAACTAATGATGTATGGTGATTAACGTAACATAATTTAAATAAATAAATAAATAAATAAATGGAAAGATACTCATGCTTGTAGACTAGAAGAATTTATATTGTTAAAATGTCCATACCACCCAAAGCAATCTACAGAGTCAATCCAATCCCTACCAAAATTCCAACAGCATTTTTCACAGAAATAGAACAAACAGTTCTAATTTATATGGAACAACAAAGACCCAAATTGCCAAAGGAATCTTGAGAAACAAAAACAAATCTAGGGGCATCACACACTCTGATTTCAGACTATATTACAAAGCTATACTAATCAAAATGGTACAGTATTGGCATAAAAACAGACTCCTATAGATCAATGGAACAGAAAACAGAGCCCGAAATTAAATCCACAGATTTAGGGTCAGTTAATTTCTGACAAAAGTGCCAAGAATATCTAATGGAAAAGAAACAATCTCTTCAATAAATGAGAAAACTGGCCAGCTACATGCAAAATAATCTAACTGGACCACTATCTTATACCATATACAAAAATTAACTCAAGATGGACTAAAGACTTGAATGTTAGACCTGAAACCATAAGAATCCTAGAAGAAAATGTAGGCAGTAAGCTCCCTGAAACTGGTCTTGGTAATGATTTTTTTGATCTGACATCAAAAGCAAGGCAGCAAAAGCAAAAATACATAAGTGTGGGACCACATCAAACTAAAAAGCTTCTGCACAGCAAAGGAAATCATCAACAAAATGAAAAGGCAACCTACCTATGGGAGAAAATACTTGTAGATCCTATACCTGGGAAGGGGTTAATATCATATATATATGTGTGTATAATATATATGTATATATATATTATATATATATCTCCCCATACTACTCAATAGCAAAAAAAAAAAATCTGATTAAAAATGGGCAGATCTGAGTAAACATTTTTCCAAAGAAGACATACAGATGGCCAAGAGATACATGTAGATGTGTTGAACATCACTAATCATCAGGGAAATGAAAATCAAAACCATAATGAAAGATCACCTACTACCTGTTAAAATGGTTAGAAGAAATAACAAGTGTTGCCAAAGATGTGGAACTCTTGTGTGCTACTGGTGGGAATGTAAATTGGTACAGCTACTATGAAAAACCGTATGGAGGTTCCTCAAAAAATTAAAAATAGAGCTACCATATGACCCAGCAATTCCAATTTTGGGTATTTATCCAAAGAAAATGAAAATATTAACTCAAGGATATATGCACCCCATGTTCACTGCAACATTATTTATAATAGTCAAGCTATAGAAACAACCTCAGTCTATCAATGGATGAATGGATAAAGAAAATATGGCACATATACACAATGGAATATGATTCAGCCATAAAAAAGAAATCTTGCCATTTGGGACAACATGGATGGACCTTGAGGCTATTATGCTAAGTGAAATAAGTCAGACAGAGAAAGACAAATACCACATAATCTTACTTATACGTGCACTCAAAAAAAAAAAAAAAAAGCAGCAGCAGCTCATAGATAACAGAGCACAGGTTAGTGGTTGCCAGAGGCAGGGGGTAGGGAGTGGTCAAAATGGGCGAAAGGGGCAAAAGGCACAAACTTCCCTTTATAAAATAGATAAGTCATGGGAATTTAACATACAACATTAAGATTGTAGTTAATAATAAATACTATATTGCATATTTGAAAGTTGTTAAAAGAATAGACCTTAAATGCTGCATCACAAGAAAAAATAAATTTTACTAGATTTATTGTGGTGAACATTTCGCGGTATATACCAACACTGAATCATTATGTTGTACATCTGAAACTAATAACGTTACATATCAATTAAACACCAATAAAAAAAGACAGGTATTCAGATCAAAATATGAGTAAGACATTTATAATTATTAGGTTATAAATATAAATTTATAGAATTTAAATTTATAGAATAAAGTTTTAAAATTAAATTTATAGCATTAAATCCAGGGATTTCTCACTAGGTAAATATTTGCAGAATAAACTGGTTAACTGTTCAAAGTTGGGACCCATTAAATATTAAATACGTTCAGTAGTAATTACATATCTAAATCCCTTATAAATATCCTTTGAAAATATCAAGAAGGCATTTAGTTAAGCAGCTAAAAATAAACTTATTTGTTGGAAGAATACAAATCAAATTTTTAGTAAGTGATAAACATACTTACCCATAGGTTACTCCAGCAATGCTACACTTCTTGAAGTTCATGATATTGCATGTAAGAGTTCCAGTTTTATCAGAAAATAGGTATTTCACCTAAATCAAAGAATAGAGGAAACATACATCAACAATGTAGCTAAGATGCAGAGACCAATAGATCATGCCTCCCCTTCTATATTTTTCAAAATCTCTATTAATTTTATTTTTATTTCATTTTATTATGTTATGTTAGTCACCATACATCATTATTTTTGATGTAGTGATCCACGATTCATTGTTTTCGTGTAACACCCAGTGCTCTGTGCAGAGCGTGCCCTCTTTAATACCCATCACCAGGCTAACCCATTCCCCCCACCCCCTCCCCTCTAGAACCCTCAGTTTGTGACTGGAGGAGATTATGCTAAGTGAAATAAGTCAAGCAGAGAAAGTCAAAAATCTCTATTAATTGTAAATGGTAAATATCCTTACAGTAAAATACATTTTATAATTATATACAATTATATATTATTATAAAATTAATATATTTTCATGCTTAGACCACTTAAAAACCTTTTCCACTAAGCAAGCCTAGAATCGAATTCTGCGGAAATGTGCAAAGGAGGCTTGAGTAACAGCCTGGAGCCCTGTCGATCTATAAGCCTAAGCACTAAGTTCTACCATAAGGCATCTCAAAGACACAGATCACTCTCCAACCTATTCCCACAATCTCATACAGCACTCCAGTCTAGTGTCCAATATATCAAGACAACAAGCTCAAACTTTGGCAACCTTCAAATATTCTTTAATCACTCCACTCCTAGTTGAATTAGGAAGGCATATCCTGAAACAACACAGAACAAACAAATCTTCCTCCATCACAGTAACAATTAAGATTACATGAAGGCAGCATAGGACTGCTATAGATTATATATAACTTTCTGAGATACAAAATTTTACAGACTTAATACACGAAGCTCTCAATATACAAAGGTGAAAAGATAAAATTTCTAGAGGTCAACAAGCCAACCATTTTGACATAATTAACTGGATGCAAAAGAGATGAACTCCACACGCACAGGTGCTGTGTGAATTCTGTTCCCTCCAGTGGATCACATGATGGGCAAGAAGGAAAAGAGTTCAAGATCACAGGAGGATAGTAGCCCAGTTCAGGCTCTGGATACTAACTAGTCATGTGGACTCTAGAAAAGTCACCTCATCCTTCTTGGCCCCGATTTCCACATCTATGAAACAAAGAGTTTGGCCAGAATATACGGAACATCATTTTATGTGTAACATCCTGGAAAATTACATCATGGATTAGTTGAAGGGAGAGTAACTAACAGAATTGTCTCCAGTAAAAATTCCAGTTTCTCAGGCCATAATTGCTGTTGGATGCTGGATGTACTCCAGGAATCACAAGGGGAAGCCATGCTTTATTGTTTTATGGAAGAGGGATTAATACTGTGAATTATTTATTCTGTACTTTTTCTTAATGATACAATAATAGGCAAATACACTGTGAATTATTTTTAAAGCAAAGGGCTGTCAAGTAAAGGAAAATTATTAATGTTCCTAAAGAAGTCAAATATTACGTAGAAACAAAAATATTAGTAAGGTATGGGTAATTCATGCTCCAACTATAAGTAAGTCTAGGGGTATAAAAAATTCAGTAGAATCAGCCTTCCAATGAAGTGTTTCCTTCCGCCCCTTTTTTTAAAAAATTAAAAGATTATATGAAAATGTTAAAAAATGAAAAATTTCTAATAAGGAATTATCCAGATTTGCTCTCATTCTCCTATTGAATTTTAACTTATCCTTAAGTTCCAACTCAAAACTTTTTGAGCAAGCAAACTTTTCCCATATTCCCAATTAGGATGAATTATTATCCTGGATACAACTTGAGCACTTTTAATACTTCAATTACTAGGATCCAGTTAATGGGTCCTGAGAACAATGGGATATTGAGCACTATGCTAGACTGACCAAGGCAACCAAAGACCTCATCCCAGACACATCCACACCCTCGAATGGGCTCAAAAGGCTCAAGATGGAAACAGATACCACACCACTATCATGTCTCTCACTTTACTGTGTTCATAATTGGAGAGACTGTTATGGGGACGTAGAAGAAAGATCAATTAACTTTACCTGAAAAACCGTAAAAGGGTTCAAAGAGGAGGCAAATTTAGTCTGACATATATACCATCCACCCCCTAGGGCTGTTGGAAGGTTTAAATAAGATGTATAAAATGAAATTATAATCTTTAATTGCAATGCATTCAAAAGAGGGTATTCCTTACAGTAATTTCAACATAAGATGAAGATATAATGCAAAACACAACTCATTAAAGGCAATAGGAGTTTCAAGGGTGATGGCAGAAAAGAAACTCGTTCCCTGGAATGCTCCAGAAACAAAATCTAAGAAGTATGAGAAATTTAATAGATTTATGTCCTTCAAATTAGCTGCCCCATGTTTTGTAAGATTACCCAATACCTGCATATCTGAACCACTGTTTTCGCGATCATTTATTCCTGATAAACAATTTTAACGTCCAGAGTAATGTTGCAGTATATTTTTTTGTATTGTTTTTTTGCAGGCACCTTCTAGATAATAAAATATATTGATGCCTCGAAAAGCAGGTCAAAGCCAACTAACATTTCTATTTCACAATACTTTCAAACGCTGTATATATAGCTCTTCAGACATCAAAACCATGTTCATAGACAACAATTTTTCTGAAATCTCTCATGGTTCTAGCACTGGTCTCCCCTGATGCTGGAGTCACCACTACCCAAGTTCCCAAAGAGGCTCTCACCTGCCCAAGCTCTTCATTAAGGTTTGATGTCCTGGCCATTGCAGGAGTGTCATTTCCTAGATAATACATGTCTGTGTCCTGAGAGAGAAGGGGTGGAGGGCGCTTCAGAAAATATATACCATTAATCCTTCATTTAGACTAACACAGAAAAGAAGCTACAACAGATAACTTAATATTAGTGCTCATTTTTAATTTGGGGGTGAAAGTACAGTGGCTATTAGTATAGAGAAACACTGTGCTAGAGAAAGAAAACAAGCAATTTATATACAGAAGGTTTGGTTTTGAGATGATCATTGCATGACCTAGACTAACCCATACTTCTGAGGAGCCAATACCTCCTTCATGGGATTATTGTGAAGATCAAATAAAAATGCACATGAAAGCACCCAGTCTACAAATACTGGCTGCTGAAGTCCAGTGCTTCATGGCATGGCAGTTGCTTTAAAATTACACCTCTCCACTCTTGCACCAGAATCCAAGTTTATGGTCCCCATGACCTTTGACATGCAATGCACACTGAAATAGATACACCTATGAGACCTTTCATGCAGGACTAATTGGACTGTAAAAGCAGGAGCAGAATTTGCAGCCATTTCGTCCCCACTCACCAGGAGGCATGCACCTGCTCAGCTCTCTGTCTCTATGATCTCCCTTAATCCTCACAAGAACCCCTGGAATAAACAGGCACCAACGTCCTCCAGTTTCGTAGACTAGGAAGCTGAGGTGTCAGGTAACCAGTCATTGCCATCACCGGCTCAGGGACAGCCTTGCCAGAGATCCCTTGCCAGTTCTCTGACCAGTTTAAGTCCCAGACCCAATCATAAAGGAACCATATTTGTCCTTTTCTGGCGGCTCAGCTGAAGGACTGATGCTCTGAGAGAGTATGAGAAAATACTGGTTGACGTTGCTCCAGCAGCTCAGCTTTGAGACTGCTGTGATACTCACCCAGTTTATAAAAAGGGCTTGAGTGTATTTCACAACCTCAAGGGTCACCAGCAGACTGATGGGAATAAGATTGTTGTATAAGATGATGAACGTCAACAAGTTATATCCGAAATTATCTGAGGTCGTGTCTGTGGACAAAAACCAAAGTACCTGTATCACTTTAGTTCATCTCGTTCAGTTTCCTTCTACCTTATTATTGTGGACTTTTTCTAAAGATGTTCACCAAAAAAGTCTACAGGCTTATGTATAAATTTAGAGATTTGAGTTAAAACAGTTATGGAGCACTTACTATATGGTATGAACTGTGAACACAAAGACTATTAATACAATCTCTTCTAGTAAAGAGCTGGCTTCTAACAGGAGGTTGTAGGGGAGGGGAGTGAGCAGGAGTGAGCAGGAGCAAGCCTGCCCCTTCCTGACCATGCAGCAGCATACATCTGCTGAGGAGGAGTTCACAGGGCATTGCTGAAACCAGGAGAGGTTTATTTTAATGGGAAGGCATGGTCACTGAAGGCCATCCAGAAGAACAGAGGCTTTAGTTAAGTTTTGGCAGAAAGAGAGAAGACAGCTAACTAAAAAGGATGCAGAAAAGAAGACAGGCATGTCAAATGGCTGTAAGGAATATCTACAACCTTACTAAGGTAAGAGTCCATCTGGGATACTCCAAAGAGTTTGTAAGATATAAAAAAGTGTCAGTGGTAGCAGGCAAAAAGAGGGAAGCAGGAAGACTGGAGCTATTTATTGACAATAACAAAAGAAAATCTTAACAGAAGAGGACCCCTAATGATGGATCAAGACCCTAGGGGACAGAATCCAAAGCAGAAGTAGGGTCAGCTTAGACAAGAAGAGGAACCAGGAGAGAGAAAAGAGGTACAAGGTCAAGTTCTTTCCTGATGACCATGACACCCTGGTTGAAGGAAAGAGTAGTAAGAGCTTAACCTGGCAAGAGGTAAGGAAAGGTTGCAGCAGGCTAAAGGTTTGACTGGTATCAAAGACGCCTCTTGAGGGGAAGTGGTATTTCAAGATAGCAAAAGGCTAGGACTGGAGATTAGTAATTTGTAAGGACTTCAAAACACACTTGAGCTTTTCCCCCAGGAAATTAGTCAAATGGTAGTGGTTTGACTCAGCCTGCGAGTTCTGGAGGGTACGATGGCAGCATAAGGGGCTGGTAAAGGGTAACAGGGAGTAGGCACAAGCTAGTCAGTAGTTTCACCTTCCTACCATCCCTTCATTTTCTTCTCTATGGCTTCTGTTTTTCCTGTTGATTGCTTCTTTTCTTTCCGACATGTTACTTTGCAACCTTGTTCCTTTGAACTAAGTAGTTGCTAAATAGGATCTCTAAGCACCAATAGTTAACAAATGTCTCTGAGGTATAATTTCCTTAGGAAGAAATATCTTCCAATTAGAATTATGTATTAAGAAATTTAAAATGTCAGGTTTGTATACATGCCAAAAGCAACTTTGAGTCATCATATATATTATCAATAAGCAGAGCACATTCGGGGAAGACCCTATGTATAAAAGTTCATTCAGCCAAACAAAAACAATCAAGTGGAGATGAGTGAGGACAGAATCTGATAGAAATTGAAGTCAAAGCTCCAACAGTGACAATGTAAATGTGAAGTCTGATGGCTTTTAACAGAGCTACTCCAACTTTTCCATAAGAGAACAAAGCAGACAGCTTTATGGGTGGGACACAAAGACTATTCTTCCATCATGAATCAAACAGCTAGTACTGGAGTTTGAAATTAGGCAATTTAAATGCCAGCTTCCACAAAGCCTGTATACCAAGGTTGTGCCAATGCTGTTTATTTACCCAGATCATGACATTTTGAAACTATATATGTACACAAAGATTCAATCTTCATATTTGAAGCTAGACATATCCAAATTTTAAGAACCAAAACCAAGAGTTTTGATTCCACCTACAACTCGAGTCCCAGTCATATTTGTAAAGTGGCAACAATAGTTCTCCTGGGCATTCAAAAGTGTTTGATTTTTCTGCATGAGATAATTAGAAAAAATGTTTTATCAGTTTAACCAAAATATATTTAAAGAATAACAAAAACTTCAAAGATTCCAAAGTTTTAAAATTCAGATTTTTTTTTAAAATATTTTGTCATTAAATTTTATTTATTTTTGGAATTGCTATGTAAGGAGATTGGCAAATCTCTCAAAAAAAGGAAGCAATAAAACTGATGAAAATTATCAAAAACAAACATTTAAAGTGCTTGGAAATTGATCACAGTGCATACAAAAAATTCAAAAGCATGTATTCAAAAATTCTACTTAATCTAAGTGGAAACCTTAGGCATTTAAGTCAGAAGCTATTTCCCTCTCCTTTCCCCTTGAGCCATGATGTTTAAATTCTGTTCTGGGTGGGTAGTTGGGACTGACAGCTTGAATCCCCTCCACCCCATGCCCCCAGCTCCATATTGAAGAAATTCTGTCCCAGGGTGAGGCAGGCTGGTACTCTAGAGTAAGGCAGGTTGTCAGGACAGGAACAGCCTGAGGAAGATGACATTATTTGGAACACAGCATGAAAAAAGCCACGCCGAAGGCACTGTCAAAACCAATAGAGATTCCAGTGGCTAATAATCAGGGAAGACAAATCTCTCACAATACTACTAGAAGCAAACAAACCAGAAGACTAGCCAGAAATTAAACAAAGATATCCATGGAAAGAAATGGCCAAAGAAACCTTGGTAAGATCACACTCAACCCTGGTGGTCCAGAAGGTCATGTCCATGCATAAGGCTGCACCTGCTTAGGAGAGACCAGAGAGGGTACTTGTGAGCTACTAGTCCCTGACTGAATGTGGGCAGACTTTAAATTCCCCAAACACTGAAGGCATTCTACAAGCCACACATAAGTCAAACAACCTCTGACCAATCACTGGTTAACCTCTAAGCTATGCTGACCTCTAGGAATCCAGGCTTGAAAATAAAAAACAAGGAGAAGAATGATTGCTAATGAAGATAGGGTTTCTTTCTGTGGTGATGAAAATGTTCTAAAGTTAGGTTAGATGTAAAGGTTGCACAATCTGTGAATATACTACAAACCACTATATATCTTAAACTATACATTTGAAAAGCAATAAAAAGTCAGAACATGGAAATAAAACTGAGCAGTAACAGCAGAGGCTATACACTGCAGGAGAAAACAGACTTCACAGAATCTTTCCAGGCAAGTCACTAAACAGATAAAAAACAGCAACAAGCTCCAGGAGGAAGAGGAAACAGAATCCAGAACTGCCCCAACATATTATCTAAAGCACCCAGTTTTCAACAACAAAGAAATATGAAACTAGTAAGAAACAGGAAAAAAAGCAATAGAAACTGCCTTTGAGGGGGGACCCAGATGATGGACCAAAGACTTCAAAGAAGCTGTTATAAATATATTTAACTAAAAGAAACCATTTAAAGAATTAAAAGAAAGTATGATGACAAAGATTGTTTAATCAGAGAACATTAAGAAAGAGATAAAAGAAAGAACCCAGTGGAAATTATGAAACTGAAAAGTATGATAATTAAAATGAAAAATATCACTAGTGGAGCTGAAGAGTAGATGTGAGCTAGCAGAAGAGAGAAACAAACTTCAATGTAGATCAATAGAGCTTACCCAATCTCAAAAAGAGAAAGAAAACAAAATAAGGAAAAATTAACAGAGCCTAAGGTCCCATCATTTGGATCAACATGTACATAATGGAATTACCAGAAAGAGAAGCGAGTGAAGATGTGGCAGAAACAATATCTGAATAAATAATAGCTGAAAACTTCCCAAATTTGATGAAAAATATTAAGATACATATCCAAAAAGCTCAACAAACTCCAAACAAAATAAACTCGAAAACCAAGGACAATTTTGAAAGCAGCAATAGAAAATGACTCACATACAAGGGGAAAAGTAAGATTAACACCTGACTTCCCATCAGTACAATGGAGGCCAGAAGGCAGTGGGATGGGATATGCAAAGTACTAAAAGGAAAAGAACATAACCAAGAATTCTACAAGAATCCTGTATCAACAAAACTGTGCTTCAAAAACCAAGGAGAAATTAACACATTCCAAGATAAAAACAGAGAATTTGTTGCTCTCCAATCTGCCTTACAAGAAATTCTCCAGGATGAAAGGAAATAACACCAGACAGGAATTGAATCCACATGAACAAAGGATATCGGTAAAGGTAATAACACAACAGGTACTTATAAAAGACAATTACATATTTTTTATCCTTTCTTTTGGACTTAAAAAAAACATGGCAAAAATTATTATAAAAGTGCATCACTGGCCTTATACACAGATGTAATATATATATGACAGCCCAAAGGAATGAGAGGATAAAGCTACATGAAGCAAAGAAATAACACAAGCTGGTAACTCAAATCTGTGGAAGAGATGAAGAGTACTAGAAATGGTAAATAAGTAGGTTCATGTAAAACAACTCTATAAGTGTATTTTCTTTTTGCTTAATCGATATTAAATAATATAAAGCAACAATTATAACACTGGATTACTCGGTTGATAACATAGATGTAATATATATGATAATAGCACAACGCAGGGCGAGAAATGAATCTATACTGGAGTAAAATTTCTGTATTTTACTGGAATTTAGTATTAACCTGAAGCAAATGCTGATTAACTAAGACATTTATTGTAATCCCTAGAGCAACCACTAAGAAAATAACTCAAAAAATAGTTAAAAATACAATCATTTGAATATAAAACAATCCCCACATGTGTCCATCCTTCATTTCATCACATGACTCCTAATCTTTCAAGAAGGCTGGCCTTTTATAGAGTAGCCAAAAGAATGAAGGATGGCATGGCCACCACACATAAACCACACTTGTAAGGGTTTTCCAAAGTGGTTTTGTCCTACTTCAACAAGCACTCCATCCTGACACTTACCCATCTTCTTGATGTACCAGTTCTTTCCACCTTGAGACCCATTCCAGTACAGGGCCCCCACTGAGCTCACCAAGGCCATGACCAAGAGGATGCCAAACAACACCAGGATCTGCACATTAGTCACTTTTTCAACATTCGATCTTTTGAGGGGTGCTTTTGTGGAATTCTGTACAACAGCATTGAAAAATGTATAAGAGTCACAGAACAGGCTTGGGGTTAAGGAGTGGGGAGAAAAGGAGGTAAGTTAACCAAACTCAACAAGTAAAAATAAAAGACTGTATTTTTGCCAAATAACCAATGAAATTAAAAAGTGTATCATACTCCTGAATCAACAGCTAGTTTTAAATAATAACACATTTTGACTCATAATTCAATCTGTACTTATGATTACATTTTAGTATAAAATGAGCTACTTTTGCAATCTTAGAAAACAAGTTCTAAATCACTTAAAATCAGTTTAAAAGAAATCAGGATGTCATAATTCAAGAGAAACTTAAAGATTCTGTACCATAAAAGTCTAGACTGAATCTTCAAGGTAATAATAGAGCTCTATAATTAATATACAAAGAACTATTTTTGCAGTATATATTTTCCCCTCAAAATTGAGGAAAAAAAGACATACACAGACACATACACATCCAAAATGCAAAATAGGTGTTGACATCAATAGGTATCAAAATAAATGAATGGACAGAGTTCATTTGGAAAACTGAACAAGAAAAAAGCAGGAAAGTCAGGAAAGCTCTAGTGGCCGTGAGAAATCTGAGTGCAGTCTTGAGTCATAAACAGAATGTAGACAGGAAAGTAAAACAAAAGTGGAATACAGCCTAGCGATCTATAAACATGCATGGTCTGATTTCTCACTGCAGGTGGGGAAACCATTCCAGCTCGAACAGAAGCCAGTGTTGGCAAGTGAGTTCAGAAAGATTCATTAAAGCCAGATTCAAGGACCTCTACACATAGGTGAAAAATTTGGAACTATATTCTCTCAGCATTGGAAAAGTCAATAGAACTATTTGCACCAGACATTTATGCATCTGAAGTCATTTTACTAAAAATGTTCTGATTGTAATTGGGGTGGGAAAAATAATGGTTTCCCCAATGACGTCCATGCCCTGATACCTGGACCCTGTAAATACATTATTTTATGTGATAAAAGGGGTTTTGCTTACATGATTAAATTAAAGATATGACTGGGATGTCTGGGTGGCTCAGCTGGTTGAGCGTCTGACTCTTGGTTTTGGCTCAGGTCATGATCTCAGGGTCCTGGGATCAAGCCCTGTGTTGGGCTCCACACTCAGCATGGAGTTTGCTTGTCCCTCTCCCTCTGCTCTCCTACCCCACCCCCGACTGTCTCTCTCTCTCTCTCATAAATAAAAAAGCTTAAATTTTAAAAAATTAAGGATATGACTTGGGGAAATATTCTTGGATTATACAAGTAGGTCCAGTTTAATCACATCGGCCCTTAAAAACAGAAAATGAAGAGATCTTTTCCTGGCTACAGTCAGAGGGAAATGTGACTACACAAGAATAGCCCAAGAAATGCAATACTGCCAACTGTGACAATGGAAAAAGGGGGTCATGAGCCAAGAAATTTGGGCAGCGCTAGAAGGCAGGAAAAGGCAAGGAACAGATTCTCCTCTAGAACCCCCTAGAGTGTACTAGAAAGGAATGCTGCCCTGCAGGCTTTGTGACATGGATGAGACCCATACCAGACTTCTGACCTACAGAACTATAACATGACAACTTCGTGTTACTTTAAGCTACTAAATTTGTATAATTTGTTATGGCAGCAATAGGAAACTAATACAGTAATCCAGAAGATGTTAATAATCCATTCCTGGAGGTGAGGAGAGCCTGGGTTAGACCGGAAGCCAGGAATTAGATAGGGGCAGATGGACACAGGAGCTTCAGTCTACAGGTCTCCCTCCATGAGTCACAAGCTTGGTCTCTCTACTGGCAACACCGATTTGCAAAAATCAGGTGATCTGAAAGCTTGAAAGGCATTAACTGGCCATAAAAATGGTGCGTTATGCAAAACTTAAGTCAGCACTCTTCACTGTTCTCAACTCATCTGATCATTAAAAGAGTTAGGATGAAAATGTCTCCAAAAAGAAGAATATGAATAAAACCACAACATAAAAATAAAATCAAATGAAAACAGAGAGCAATTCATCCCTAAGTTCCCTAGAGAAGCTCATACCACAACATCACTGAAATGGTTACCTGAATTCTATCACCAAACCCACAAATACTACCATCATGGCCTGGTTTTCTGCAGGGTAGGGAGGTAGGGAATCAGTTTACTGGCCATTTTGAAATGTTTCAGTATTTAAACAGCACAGCAACAACTTCCTTTATATTCTCTTTTCTCCCTTTCACTTCAGTTCTCTGAATTGTCCTTTAGAGACTTAAAAAAAAAAAAAAGTCCTTTAAATTTCTAAATGGAAATCTATTAGTGAAGGCTGACCCATCTATCAAATCCCATCTACAGGTTGATGGGGACAACATATCACCTCTGGTCTTACGGAAGAAGCCAACAGACCAGTTCCAAGACTGTCTATCCCCACCTTTTAAAACTCATGATCTTATCGTTCTGAACATTCACTGGAGCACAGGGAGAAAAAAAATTTACAATAAGCATCATTTCTATGACTCCATTAGCTTATTGGCTTCTGATCTTTTCCAATGGTTCAGTTGTGGCCAATTAACAGGGTTAGGAAAAGTTTTCTTTCATCCAGTACAAGAGCGCCAAACTTCATCACACACACTTTGTGGAAAGTCAGGCTCTGCCTATTCACTCCCACTCCCTGAACATTTCAACTTACAATGATGAGCTTGTAATGTTAAATTCTGACTAGCATTTTAAACTCTTCCATAAAATTCTTAGAAAATACTTCTGCTTTTGAATAATGGAGTTCTTAATAGAAATAAGCATCTTTCAACTAACATCTTTCATGAAGATGTTAGTGATTATGTGAATCTATACACATGTTAAAACACATAGAATTGTATAGCAAAAAAGTTATTTTTATGGTTTGTTAATTCAACAAAATTTTAATAGTGATAAAAATAATAAAAACTTGAATTAAGTGGCTATATATAATTCCAGAACCATCTCTATTGTCATTTACATTTCTTAGAATGTTTTGCTATTAAAAACAACCATGAAACTAGTGCTGATAAATGTATTTAATAAAAATTTTACTTATAGGGCGCCTGGGTGGCTCCGTTGGTTAGGCGACTGCCTTCGGCTCAGGTCATGATCCTGGAGTCCCCGGGATCGAGTCCCGCATCGGGCTCCCTGCTCAGCAGGGAATCTGCTTCTCCCTCTGACCCTCCCCCCCTCATGCTCTCTATCTCATTCTCTCTCTCAAATAAATAAATAAATAAATCTAAAAAAAATTTTTTTACTTATAGTAGTTTAAAAAAAAGCCAAAATGTCAGAGTTTGAAAAGTTTATAATTGACCTGAATTTTATATACTTTCTGCCCTCCTAAGAAAGTAGTCAGTAGAGTAACTAGTGAGAACATGGACTCAGGAGCCAAACTGCATAGGTTTGAATCCCAAATCTCTCTCTTACTGGGTGGGTGTGTAACTTCAGTAACTATTAGACACTGGGTCTCATTGTCCTCATCTAGAAAATGGGCACAATAATAGTATCTTCCTCATAGGGCCATTATGAGGAATAAATGAGTTAATACATGCAAATTGCTTAGAAAAATGCATGTGGGCACTAAGTATTTGCTGTAATTAATGTGATGATACCTCCTTCCCATTAAATCAACCAATAGAAATAGTAATATTGAAAATATTTCCACATGTAACTACACTGAACTTGAAACAAGGGAACTCTGAAGAGAAGACACCTGAGGCAAGATTTACAGAGCAAACAAAAAAGTAGAAGAACCCTAAAGTAATTGTGTTTCCCCTCTGTGGTCAAGCAGCACAAGTCCAGACAAAAAAATGTTATTTCACAAATAAGATGGCTTCCAGCTATAGGTGTTATATTATATTCCTCTTGAAAGCTAATTATTTTTACTTGTTGTTGCAGTCCTAAAGGCACAGCAAGTCTAGTGCAGATGTTTCTGGGTCTTTTCACCATTCTGTACTAGAACACTCAACACATAATAAGCCTTGCACGGGCTTATCACATGTAGGTGCAAGGAGAAGCGCCTGTCTCACTCACAAGAGCAAACTTCATGAGGTAACTGTGCACACCTTGCTCACTGAAAAGATGATAAGATCATTTTTAGGTATAACTCGATGATCTCTTACACCTTAGCTACAAAGCTGTACTACCAATGTCACCCTGAAAAAAACAACCGGTATACAAGGAATCTTGGAGGGTGGTTAAATTTGTAATATGCACAATCTAAAAATGGGTGTTGGGGTCCCATCTAAATATGAGCTAAGTCTTTGTCATCTCTGTCTCTTTATCATAAAAACAGAAGTGATCTGTGGTCAGTAGAGCTCCCAGTGTTAGGTGTGGCTGCTGGCACTGGACTGGGAAGTCAGAGGATACTTAGTAGGTGGTGGAGCACTAAACCATTCGTCAAAGTAAAGTCTCCACATAACAGGCTATTCAGAACTAACAAACTTTAAACTTTCTAATCAGTTCTGAACCGGTGAGGACCTAGCAGGAAAGACAAATAAAACGCATTTCAGATACACTGAATAATCTTGATCCATCCAAGAGGGGCCTCAGCATTCACCAACTATTTGTTCTCTCAGCCACCATGGATCCCCACCCTCGTGCACACACTCCCACTGCAGCCATTCCAACACACCCTAGCATCCCAGGGACAAAACTTTTCCATGTCCTCATCCTCCTTTGGGAGCTTTTCTTACCCAGCTGAGGGCACTCCTTCCCTGAAGCTCCTCAAAGCAGAGGGTGCTCCAGTGAAGACTCACATGCCTTGGAATCTGAAGCCAATAGTACTTCTGACCCTTATGACTCGAATGCCATGTTAAAACACTCACCTGTGAAACTCATGCCATTTGGCTACACTGTCTTCTGCTTCTTCCCTCAACAAATCCACCAACCTCTCAGGCACGTCCCTCACTCTCTAAAGAGGTGAGCAGTTGGCTTATGGTATCCATCTTGGCCCCAGCCCTGCCATTATTCTGTCTTCAAAATCACAGCACGGAGCACCAGATGCATTATCTCTCAGTTCTCACTACATACCGATCAGCCGGTTGAGCGGCAACTGCAACAGTCTTCAATGTCACGAGACTCTGAAGCCTTATCATGCCCACCATCTCCTCCACTCCCTGCCACCCCGTCTCCATTGCATTTCCCAGCTGGGGTGGACATGGGGTCTATCACCTCATCTGTTCTAATCAATATTTAACTCTCTCCTCCTCCATCATCTGACCTCAAACAGTCAGCCAACACAAGAACCCCCCCCCCCATCTAAAATGGGTTTCTAGTATCTAGTCAACTAACAGCCCCAATCCTGGGTTGCTTGGCCTTTCTGTAGACACCTAGAGCACTTTGTAATGATAATACTGCAGCAATTCTCATTCTACCTGGTAATTCTGTATTACTCCTTAGTCTGTGTGGCTCCCAGAGGGTGAGCTGGGCCTTTCACTATTGTATCCACACAGCCTACTTCAAGACTTGGTGCATGGTGGCCACTGAATAATTTTGAACTAAGAAATACAGTCAAATACATGCTTTGGAAGTGATACAAAAGAACAGACAAGCTGAAAAGCTGATTCTTGCGAACAGCAACCATTCGCAAAATAAGATCCAAAAGATATCAAAGAAATATAAGAAATGACACATTGGGACACTGATTTATACAGAATTTCAAAAGCTGTCTGGCAAAATACACCATAATACAAATGCAGGCTGCTGTAAATTCACAAATACTTTGAAAATCATTAACAGGGAGAAAGAGTAAAATCATTTTAACTTAATTCTTTTGGTGTATGAAGAATAAATATTAGTTCAAAAACAACTGATTTTAAATTGCCAAGGATTTAATTTAAAGTACAATTTACTATTAAATCCTAACTCATGGGGTGAGGAAGAGAAGTAGAGATATAAGAAAGTTAGAATGAATCTCTGCTTAAGTCCAGAAGATAAAATAAGTTAGAACTGATCATCCCCCTAAATCTGGAAAAAACAAAGACCATCGATATTTCAAGCAAGAGGTAACAAACATCTGAGAAAATAATGGAAATCCAGGAAAAACTACCCAAGGAACCAGAAATAAAAGGTACTTCCTTTCTAAATTTAGGTTCACAAATTCGAGGCCCTAAATGCAACATTTGCATTTGCACTCTCTACTCCATAAAAATGGACAGAAAAAATAAAGACTGAAATCAGCATTGTTTTTCAGCATAGAAATGTTTTACCTGCATGAGTTTGGTGTCGTGTCCAGTATAAACAACTATGCCAAAGACCCACTGAGTATTTCTAAGCTGTGTACCTCTTAATAAGATCTGGTCAGGCCCAAGGGGAACAGGGCTAAAAATAAGAAACAACATTTATATTTAATGATAGTTTGACAAATAAGCATGAGCTTTCCCCCTTAAACATAAACACACAATTAATCAATTAATTCGATTGTTTCTTTTATTCAAATTTGAACTATTTCACTGAGAGGAGCAATGAAAGTTACCACTGCCTTCATCTACAAAAAAAAAAGAAAAAAGAGATCCATAAAAAAGTTTTATCCTATCCATTCATCACTACAAGAAAAATATGTATTTTTCTTATAAAATGTTAGAGGGAATTGTATTCTCTTAAAACCCGGGCATGAAACTATACACCCAAAAAGGAAATTGCTAAAATAACCAGAAGCTTATTCATTGGGAAACCCAGTTTATTTTACAGACTCTAAAGCTAGAATATCAAATTTGTCAAGGATGACTTAATGGTTAAATAAAAGGCTGAATGATAATGTAGAAATTCAAAAGGGGGAGCTGACTGAATGTCTCTGCATGCTAAATGAAAACCAAGAAAGCAGTCACAGTTGTGATAGTAATTTTGGGTTGATTCCCACAATTAGGTCCTTCCCTCTGAGTCTGTTCAAAATACAAATGTGGGAAGCATCGGTAAGGAGCATGCAGATTAAAGATGGGCAGAAGGGAGAAACTGCACCCCAACATGATGACAAAAATGACTCTCCAACAATCAAACAAATGCCAAGAGGACAAAGACAACGGAATATAGACAACAGGGCAGTGAATATTCTAAAGGAAGAGTAATTGCTGTTCCTTCCACTTGATAAGAACAAATCCTACTTAGAAGAATGCTAGTCAAAAAAAAAAAAAAGGATGTTTCTCTAATAAATAGATTAGCTCTTATACACCTGATATGCTTCTCTTCTGCTCTTCTGGACAATTTTATGCAGCCCAAACCACCTCTCCTTCCTGGTAGGTAAGACACACAGAAAAACAGCCAGTACTTTTAATCTCATTTCAGACCCTGGGGCTGTTTTTCTTAACAAAAATCAGTTCTTTCCTTAAACTTAAGGGAAGGAAGGTTTATACTGACTGAAATTGTGCTTCAGGAAAAGCTCAGTCTCTCATATCTAAGCTAAACATAAGAAATCTCATGGTTTTAAAATATTTCAAAACCAAAAACACAAGCTGATATTTTACCAATTCCAGTAATTCTTAGTCCCATTTAAGAACAAAAAAATAAAATAAAATAAAAACTAAGAAAAGCAAAAGTGATACCTTTTCCCATCTATGTGCAAGTTTCCAGTGAAGTCATAGAGATGGCGGTTGGGTCCTTCACATTCTATAGTTCCAGATAACTTCATCAATACTTCCCTTGTTTGCATGTCAGCAGTGTGACTCAGACCCTAAAATGTTAAACCAAAAGAGGAAACTGAATACAATCTTCCAGGTTTGGGGACAACATTCAGCATCCCCATTGTTAATCCAAAGGAAATAATGAATCATCTAAAATGGAGTCACTGGGAAGGCTAACAAATCAAGCTACCAGCCCCTCAAGATAGACTTCCCAGGCAGCCTTTGCCATAGCAACCTAATGCAAAAGTTTCCAAAGAATTCAATGAAGTGCAGGGTTAAGATTCTCCCATTGTGCTGGGAAGATCCATGTTCAAGTAACCACATACTCAAGCACCTTGCAGAGAGCACTCTATTAGTTCACTTTAATACAAGTCATAAAAACAGAATAAAGCATTCTTTTAATATAATGTTTCATTAGTGTTATATCTAGTACTCAGCAACACTTCTTTAAACAGAAAAAAAAAATACCCTACTTAAATCAAATATCTAAGATAGAAAAGAAAGACAGGTGGATAGAATTATCAAATTCAACTTTATGCAACAGAAAATTTGAGTATCAAATGCTTAAAATTTGTGTTACAGTAAAGACCATTTTTCATTCTAGAATTAAAATATATGGTAAGAACAGCTTTGAGGCATAGAAATTTTGTATCTGATGTATTACTTTCTAGAATTAAAGTGTCAGTTAAAACAACCATGTAAAGTAAGGTACCCAGAGCTTGCCTACTGCATCTCTCCATATAGAAGATGCCCTTTCCACCATGTGGCTCAACCTAGCTTCTAACCTGGATGAAGCTCACTTTTTCTAACTCCACTGTCTCTCTCAAGGGGTTCCCTTCATAATAAAAGCCAAGTTCTTCCCATGGGTTCCATTAGGGTTAAGGCATAACCCTATCTAGCAGAACATTTTTCTCTAGAAAATACACCGATTGGTATAGTGAACCAAATTTGCAATTTGGGTCTCCATGACAACACAAGTCATAAAAGATTACTTTACCTGACGTATTTTAAGGTTCGTCTCCCCATCTAGATTAGCTGTTTCAACATAACACATTGCCTGAGGTTCACTATGGAGAGAGAAATTTAAAAAGCCAAAGTTTAGTAAGATCCCCTCCACAAATTCACAGCTCACAAAGTCTCTACCATGGAAACTGTGTCTGCTGACTGGCCCTTCAACCACTTTAGTCCTAACTGACCAGAAAGACACTCCTCTTTGAGGCTCAACACCAACACAAAGGTGTTTGCCCAATGATCCATACTTACGGACCCCACATAATGCTGCTTGACCTTAAGTAGCAGAAATAACTGAAGTAGAATGAGAAGAGGACTTGTAGGTTAAGGGAAACACAATATGTTCCAGCGAAGACCCCACCACTGTGTTTGGATGACCCTTAGAGTCTGAGTATTGGCCTGCTCCTGACCAAAAGAGCCACCCTAGACACAGCCAGTACAAACACAGCTTTTGAAGAACATTACAGCCAGAGTTCACCAATCAAGTTTGGCAAGCCTTTTCTTCCCTGTACCTTTTACTACGTCAACAGGTAACTTTTTAATCAAAACATCCAATTTTAAGGACAGAACACTCGAAGAATAACAGTAAGCATGGCAGGGCTGCCTGGGTGGCTCAGTTGGTTAAGCGTCTGCCTTTGGCTCTAGTCATGATCCATGGTCCTGGGATCCAGCCCTGTCAGGCTTCCTGCTTAGTGGGGAAACTGCTTCTCCCTCTCCCTCTGCCCCTCCCCCTGCTCATGCTCTCTCTCTCTCAAATAAATAAATAAAATCTTAAAAACAAAAAACAATAATCCTGGTAGATACTGTATTCCTATTTCTAATCACTGGGGTTAGCTGCATAGTTAGTGGTCAAGAGAATGGAATCTGCAACCCACTGGCTAAGTTAAAATCTCCTACTGCTACCTTTGTGGGCTGTGTGGACTTAGAAGTTGTTTAATCTCTGTTTCTGTGTTTTCTCATGTATGAAGTAGGGATACCAAGGGTTTGGGGGAAGATTAAATGGGATAATGTACTCAGTAGACTGCTTAGCATAATGTACAGACTCAAACAGGAATGAGCATCCTAGAAATATGTTGTCAGCTCAGACAAACCATCTCATATTAAAACCAGGTTTTCTGAGGGTTACGGTGAAAATTCATACCCCAAACTGTCAAGTGATCCACATTTCCCTATTTCTCTTGTTACCAATCAATAGGGACAAATATGAGTCCTGCCCTATATATATGGTGCTCTTCCTTCTCTATGGGCCTGAGATCCTATTTTTAAACATTTTATCTCGAGCAGAAAATTCATGCTAAGGCTTAGAATCCAATGTATGATCAAATCCAATAAAAGCAACACTGTCGGGGCGCCTGGGTGGCTCAGTTGGTTAAGCGACTGCCTTCGGCTCAGGTCATGATCCTGGAGTCCCGGGATCGAGTCCCGCATCGGGCTCCCTGCTCAGCAGGGAGTCTGCTTCTCCCTCTGACCCTCTTCCCTCTCGTGCTCTCTATCTCTCATTCTCTCTCTCAAATAAATAAATAAAATCTTTAAAAAAAAAAAAAAAAGCAACACTGTCTGCATTCAAAGAAAATGTCAACAGTGTATCTAGGATTCCCTGCAGCACATAAAACATAGAAGTTTCAGTCTTATCATAGAATTAAACTTGAACTCATGAAAAGGAGTTTATTTATATCCTAATTGTAGCATTCCATCTTTGATATATACTTTTATGTATCAAGCCAAGGAAAAGTCAAGGACTGCATGGTCCATTATTCATGTCACTTAGTGACTGGTGATACCTTTCCAGCACGAAACTACCTGGAGAACATGGCAGTGGCACTTGGGCAGATAGGGGGACACAACGTGGACGAATGAAGGGCAACACCATGTCATGTCTATGCTGTGAACGTGGGCCAGATCTCTGAGCACCTAGTAAAGGAGGCCCTGGCTCTACGGGAAGACTCCCTGGACCCACCAGGAGACTGGTTCTCAAGCCTCAGAGAGGCTGCAATCTTCGTGTTATTGACGGAATCACTCCACTGCTCTGGAGCATCTCCTATGAATATGAAATAGCCCAGAACTGCTATGAGACTAAAATGAAGCAATACATCTAAAAGAATTCTACAAAAGTACAAGGGAATGAAGGGAGAAAGAAAATTTAGGATTAAGGCAGAAACAAAAAAAGGCAAATGACAAGTAACTGACGAAGAGGCTGGAGAGAGAAGGCTGGTGCCTCCGGGGGTGGAAGGGAAAGGGTGGCTTGTGATTCCTGTAGTCACCACTTAATGCTTTATTGTTCACATTTATTTCAAACAATGTGCCCACTTGCACACCTGACCTGGAGGATAGCAGGGCCATGTCTGCCGGGAGGTACTGCCCATTGATGACCTTCACAATGTCTCCCACCGCCACCTAGAAAACCAGGGACAAGGACAGAGAAGCATGAAAGACAGGAAAGCACAAATAGTCATTAAGGTGGTTAAATATTTGAAGAAAAAATTACTATATAATTATGCCATGAAGCTTAAGACAGAAGCCCAAATTATTTTCCTTGACAAGAACAGAACAAAAATCTTTCGGTACAAATGGTAATATTGCCTTTCTGCAGTGATGCCAAATGAAAAAAAAAATAAAACGTAAAAGGAGAGTAAGAAAAGAGAAGAGTCAGAACAACTATCAAGGTCTCATTTTCTTACAATTATTCCATCCACTTGCAAATTCCACTCTTGCACTCTGGAACAATCCCACAGCTGTACACAGTAGGGGCGAGTGGTTAAATGTACACCTCCAGAGCCAGCCAGAATGCTGGGCTCAAATCCCCCAGCTGGATTCCTTGCTAGACCTGAGTAACCCGGAGCAAGTTATGTAAACTCTGTGTGCATCAGTCTTCACATCTATATATATAATGGGGTTGAGAGCACGTATATCATGGGGTTATTGCAAGGATCAACTGAGTTAATAAATTTTCTCCATTTTACAAATGGGGAAACTGAGGTTCAAAGAGAAATAACTTGATCAAGGTCACACAGACAGTGAGTGTTAGACCCAAGATTCAAAACTGAGCAACTGGCCAGTGGTCTGATTACAAAGCAATACTGGTTTCACCCATGAACAGTGCATCTAAGAGGTCCCCTGGAAACATACCACTTAAAACAGAGATTTGTGTAGCCTCAAGAACTTCAAAAAAAAAAAGAGTCACAGCCAAAGTCAGAGACCACCTAGGGAAATAGACTCCACCAGACACAAGACCCCAAGCTAAAGAAAAAGGCCTTAATCTGCTGACCATGGGGCACCATGGCCAAGGGTTTGTATATCTTTTAAATGAGATCACAGAAACACCCAGCTGGGTAGAATATGGGCTTTCAAGTCAGGCAGGCTGAGGTTCAGATCCGAGCTTCACAGACACACTAGCCCCGGGATCTTGGCAAGTTCTTCACCTCGGTGAGCTCTAGCATCCTCACTTATAAAATGGAGAAAGATCAACACTTACCTTGTAGGGCTGATGCAATGATTAAAGAAGTATATGCAAGTGCCAGGCCTGAAACAGGCATGTGCTAGTCTCTACCAGCAGGAGTGCAACCAAATGGACACTATGAGTGTGAAAGTCAGACAGACCACGGTTCTCAGACAGCACAAGAACAAAGGCTGTTCTCAGCACATGTGAGTAAGTTCAAAACGCAAAATGGGCACTATGCCTTACTTCTTATTCTAATGCACATTACTGTTCTCTTAGAAATCAAGAATTTCAAACCAAATACTTCTGAAATATTTATGAAACTAATATTTATGAAAGACTCCTGGATCTTGCAAACTAGGAGAATGGCCCTGGCAGGGGCCTATATTTAACTTTTTTTTTTTTTTTTAAGATTTTACTTATTTATTCATGAGAGACAGAGAGAGAGAGAGAAAGAGCCAGAGGGAGAAGCAGGCTCCCAAGGAGCAGGGAGCCCGATGTGGGACCCAACTCCAGGACTCTGGGATCATGACCTGAGCCGAAGGCAGACGCTTAACCATCTGAGTCACCCAGGTACCCAATATATTGAACTTTTTATTAGGAAAAAGGAGGGTTTACTAAAAACATGTCCTGCTAGTGTTTTGAGTCAAAGCACTATCAAAGCATGTGGGGAAGTAAAGAATCAGGCCCAATGTGTGTGTGGGGGGGGGGGGGTAAAAATTAAATTCCAGAACGACTGTATATTTGAAGTTAGTATCAACGTAAAGCCAAAAGGAAGGCCTATATGTATATTCTATATTCCACAATAAAGAGAATATCAAAGAACAGGTGCTACTGAGCTATTTTAACAACCATCAGTACAACAGCAAGGAATGCTTATGAAAATTGAAAAAGTTTCTAAATGTAAAAGTATTTTATGTGAATAGTTTAATTACGTAGAAAAAAATCAGAAGAAGCTATTAGTTAGAAACTAGAAAGGAAAATTGGTCATGTTTTCAAAAGAAAAAAGGCGGTGGATTTTTTCTTAATTCAGTGGGAGGACAAGGGAAATTAAGGCTTTCTCCCATCTTAGTTATTTAAATAAAGAAACATTCATATCCCAGTAGCAAAGTACTAAGAAGTTCCATGCACATGGAAAACTACTTAGTTGGAAATGTGTTTGAAAATGGTTTTCTATTTGGTGTTTATGCATGGCTGTCCCTTGAGTGTGTCAAGTTTCCCAAATGAGAATTCTTAAGGTGAGAAAGAGCCCCCTCTAGAGCCCTGAATCCACTCTAGCCTCAGAGGATTCCTCAAGCTTCTTAATTTTGAAGAATAAGCTCAAAGGCCTTCTCAAAGTCAACCAAAGCTATTGAGTTGCACCGAAGAGCTGCCTCCCAGCATTCTATTCTGCTACAGCCCAGGGGATTGCCAACTCAAGCTCAGCATTTCAGATTAGAGTTGTATTGCTTTGGGAAGCTTAAAGAGAGCCAGGTCCACCTTGCCTGACATCTCCGGCATTTGGTACCTCTTATCGCCTATCTTGTCCCATGTTTTCATCATTGTTCCTTGAGCCACTCATCCTCCTCTTTGTTCTGAGCTGCTCTGCAGATGTGCCTGGCTTTCCTTCCCATACAACTGAGACTTTCACCCAGTTCCCTCTGTCTTGAACAGCATTTCCCTCTTAAAATAATTACCTCTCATTCATCCTTCAAAAGAACACCAGAACATCACACGAGGGATGTCTTTGCTCATCTGAATTAATGGGTCTAGACAGACTGATCATCCATCCCTCCCATATGTTCCAGAAGCACCTGAAGCATGCCCCTACACAGAGCTCAGCACTAACACTGCATTCTATCCAGCTGCCTGGCCCTCCCACGACACCCGTGGTTCGGGGCCAGCAGCATTAGCCTCACCTGGGAACTTGTTACAAATGCAAATTCTAGGGCCCAGTGGAATTCCCAAAACGGAAATTCTGAGAGTGCAGCCTGCGCAGCACTCAGTGTTAGACCAGCCAGGCAAGCGACTGATGCCCACTGAAGGCTGAGAATCATGGTAGGCAGCTTCTTAAGGGCAGGGGCCGTGCTTTATTCTTACTTGCATCCCCAATGCCTAACACCATCTCTGGGACATCCTAACAGCTCCATTTAAACAAACAAAAGCATTTTAATTGAAATAAATATATTTGCGGCAAAGCATATAACAGGTATTTGGTTTGGGATTTTTTTTTTTTTTTAACTTCAAATGTGTGTAGGAAATGGTAAGGAACTTTAGGAGTCTGTGAGGCCATCAACTCCTGGACCCAGAATTCAGAGATCATCACTCCATTTGCTACTGTTTCAAGCAGTGCAAACATCCCAAATCCAAATCATTCCTCACTCCAGCCACTGTTCCGAGCTTTCGCGGGGGCGGGGGTCAGGTTGTCAGGAAGCACTTAGAGAAACAGAGGCCATTCCTAAGTGTAGTGGGAATCCTTGAACCCCCATAGCACTGGGAGCATTTCTAACCTCTATGAGGTCAAGAATTTCCAACCACTTGACAAAGAACCACAGACTTCCAAATAAGAGGGAGGTCAATTAGTATTGGCATTACAGGACTTCTAGATTGCTACCAAGGTTAAGGTGTTATCACAAAACACTATAAAGAGACTTCACAGTTCTCTTATAATGAAGTAAACAAAACACAAACTAAACTGAGGGCTACAGTTACTGTATCACAGGCATTTTGCAGAGTTAAAGATCATAGAAGCATTTTTCAACACTGCTTACTAAATGGTTAGCAAGAGAAACTATTGTTAAGTGAACCTTCTAAAAAGTAGTTTTCTTTTGAAATCATGTTAATCATCTTCAAATATTGAAGTCATGAGAGTCATCCCCCACAAAAACCATCTTGTGACCATTAAGAAGGTCCAGGTAAAACAGAGGTTCACTTAAAAAGCTAACTTTCTCAGATACAAGGATACCCAGATGGCACAGCATATTTCTTCTACATTTTCTATTCATCACTATAAACAACCAAAAAACCCTCACCATCCCCAAACCCTCCCAACCTCATGTTTCCAGGGACATGGAGGCAAACCCTCTCACTATTGTAAAGTTAAGAGCAGTGACTGCTGGTCCTGACAACCAAGTTCAGGATCAAAACAGGCTGGCCTCCAACCCCCACTCCACCTCTGTTTACATTTCGCAGTAAAATCTTAAACCCAAAACTCTTCCCACCAAAAACATTAGAAGTGAGATTCTCCAAAGTTAGAAAATCTTAAAAACAAAACAAAACAAACAAACAAACAAACAAACAAAACTGGATTTAGGTTAGGAGAACAGAAGCCTAGGGAAGAGGTTTCTTGGATTGGAGTTGGAAACCACAGGATGCTTTGGTATTTCAGAAGCATCCATCAGGAGCAATGAATTTCATACTGTGAACTGACACAGTGAGCAGTTCCCAGAAGAAGCAGGAACCGAGTCAACAGGCAGCAGTTCTAAGGAAATCTCATGGGAAACTCCACAATATAAAACTTACATTAGAGATGACCGATGTCTTAACCCAAACTTTACCCACTGCAATCAATACTAGCAATTAATTACAAGTCCCCAAACCAGTACTTTCTGGCAGATCTTTATAAAATTAGGGTTTTTAAAATTTTTTATTTAAATTCATTTAGCCAACATAGAGTACATCATTACTTTCTGATATCGTGTTCAATAATTTATCAGTTGCCTATAACACCCAGTGCTCATCACATCACTTGTCCTCCTTAATGCCCATCACCCAGTTACCCCATCCCCCCACCCAGCTCCCCCCCAGCAACCCTCAGTTTGTTTCCTATAGTTTTTACCTCTTTCCACATAATGGTATGCCACATACCATTTCTTAACACTGAAAAAGAAAAAACAATGTACCAGTTAATACTGATGATAATCAAAATAAAATCAGCTTTTCAAAATCTAAAAGGTTCCTTTCAAAATTCCACTTATTAATTCCAACCTTATCTTTAGACATAAAGGCATACCACACCACTCCTCAAAATGGAGCCCCAATCCACATACCATATATATATATTAATGCATACGTACAAATATAAATACATGCATATAAGTTAAAACTAGCCATATTTATCCCAGAAGAAAAATATCACCCTGTTGTTACGAGATTAAACACACACACACACACACACACACACAAATACAGACCTAATGTTCTAGAAATCAATACAATAAAAATAGGTAGGGAGCAAGTATAAACCAAGGATGTGAATGCTTGGACTTTTTATAGACCTAACATATGTCTAGCTCCTAAAAATTACCACCTTTTCTAAGCTTCTAAAATACACAAGTTCTGTTCACATCTTACTAGCCAGGACTCCCATTTTATTAGATTGGTTTGTAATTTTGCTATTTCTTTTTAAATATTTTATAGATCCTTTCCCTCCACTTAACGTCAATACCATCAGCTACTTATTTTCCACGCCTTAGATGGGAGTCTGACGTTTTCTAGCTGGGAAAGTGACTCAGCCTGGTGTCTTACCTATTGTTTTCTTTTTGTTCACTGCATTGTCTGCCTTATGCCGCTTCTGTTACCAAAAAGAAAAGAAAGTTCTTAGATTCCAAAGTTCCAAATGCATCATTGCAACAGCAACAATGGATCAGGAGAGAAACAGGGCTCCAGGAAACGGACTGGCGGCGATGTGAATATTGCGAAACTCAGCCCAGAGGTCTGTGACCCGGCAGCACTCCCTAAATTCAGCAGACAAATGTCGCAAACGTGGCTGCAGTCTACTCTGGGGTCAGCCACGATATTTCGGCTCCAACAAGGAACGAGCACTCTGAAGTACGAGATTTCTCACGCCTCGTTTCTTTCAGATCAGACTAAAAGAACTATTCAGGATGATACACCCAACAACAATTGAATTCATTTTACTGGTAAAGAACTTAGGGAGCAAAGTACCTCTGATTTGTATTCCATTTGTTTGTTTACCTAATCCCAGAAAAATGTACATGATGTGTGTGAGTGTATGTGTGAGCGTGAGAAAAAGAGACACGGGGTGGGGGAGGAAGGGGGGGTGGAGGGAGGGAGGGGTGGAGAGGAAGAGGAAGACCCTGGAGGCAAGACCACAGATGGAGAAAAGGCGACAAAGCATGAATATGGTTGTAGCCACTGAACCTGGAGATACACCGAGGGAGGTAAGTCTGAGGAGAGAGAAGATTCGTAAAATTACCTCAGGCACAGCCAGCCCAATGCTGCTATACTAGGCAGCAATCCATCCTTTTGCTACCCAAATTAGGAAGCTCTAAAGCAGGATTTAAGGAACATCAGTGATAAAAATCAAAGAGAGTTCACAGAGCTAACATTAGAAAACACAGTTTGACCTACTTCTGTGTATAGGTATTTAAGACATTGTGTGTACACATTCCCTCCCCAAAAATACCGTCATGAGCCTTGAAAGGTTACTTAGGCTACTGACCAAATTCCTATCTTCAACAAAGAAAAACAGAGCAACAAATAAATTACAAGTTATATTCAATACAAGGTTTTTATTATATGAAAGCAAAAACTTACAAAATCTTCTACAATCTCTTTGATGCCTGCAATTGTTAAAATAATGATCAATGGCACCAGGGTGGTATATCTTCCTGTTGGAGATACATCTGGAATTTGCTGTAAGACAAGAGACCAAAAGAGGGAAGTTGACAAATTAAAATTTTAAAATCCAAATCCTCTCTACAAAAAAGAAAATATGACACTCACCGCTCATTCTTTTGAAGTTCTGTTCCATTTCTGTTATACCAAAGTGATTACCTTCTTTTAAAAACTAGCTACGTGTTTTACATATTTCAAAATTTTTATCTAACATGGCTATGTGTTTAGAACTGAAAAGGGGTTAAAAGTATGACTCTCGGGCCATTTTTCAATGCCTCTTTTAGTAACTACAATTATTCTTAAGGCAATAACTAAAAAAGTCTGCCTTTATGCAGAGATCATGTCTGTGCATGAAAACGATGATCAGATGAGGGGACAAATTACATTCAAGTATTATGACACTTTTTCAGTTAAGTGACCTTTCAGCAAAATCTCATTTTGCATGTAATTAACATTATGAATTTTAAATCACTCTTTAAAAAGTGTTACCTGTAATAAGGCAATGAAGAGGAAGAAGGCATTAGCAGCTCTTCTAATCTGCTCATACAAGAATCGAGGTAGAAACGTCAACACGCTGTACTTGGCCGTACTACAAGTAAAAAGAAAAATGCTCCTGTCAGCTACAGATGTAAATTCTACAAAGAAAACGAAAAGTTGCGAGAATTTTACAAGTGGTTTTAAAAATAAAATACTTCAGAATTTAGGACAAGAAAATTGCTGTGCTGGCCCTGCCCCACAAAGATTTTGTAAAAGGGCACACATGACAAGAAAATCTTCTAATGTGATCTTTGTTTACAAACTTAGATATATTTACTAGTCACACAGCATAAGCAGAGAGATTTACCCGCTTTCTAGGAGCTATAGTAAACACATCAAGAATATTTGTTGGGGCGCCTGGGTGGCTCAGTCAGTTGAGCGTCCAACTCTTGGTTTTGGCTCAGGTCATGATCTCACGGGTCGTGAGATTGAGCCCCGCGTGGGGCTCTGTGATCAGTGGGGAGTCTGCTTGAGATTCTCTCTCTCTCCCTCTCCCTCTGCCCCTCCCCCTGCTCCCACTCTCTCTCTTTCTCTCTCTAAAATAAATAGATAAATCTTTAACCAAAAAAAAGAGTATTTGTTAAAGGAAGATATGTTTCAAGGATCCCAAAACAGAAGAGGTACACATTCCAAATACAGCAAAAGACATGAACTCTGAAATAAAGAGTGAGATAGAAACACCAACTGAGGGATCCACACAAGCGAGTAGAATTATTCCAGGATTTGTGATGCCTGACAATTCTTAATATAAAGCCACTGATTCAAGGTAGCAAGTCAACTTCATAAAGGATGCCCTGGGTCCCAGGCATGTGTATAACACGTCAGTGTGTCCCTCTGGATACCTATCACGGGTGTTTTTTTGTTCAGCCACACCCAGATAAACTCCATTCCTATCATACCCTTTATTTGGCCACCTTTGCTCATGCTTGTTTGGAATTTTTTTTCCAGTTTTATTGAGGAATAATTGACATACATCACTGTATAACTTCAGTCATATGGCAGGATGTTCTGATTTACATATATTGTGAAATGGTTACCACAGCAGGTTCTGCTAGCATCCATCTTCTCATATGGGTACAAGAAAAAAGGGAAAAAACATTAACTTTTATATATATCACACAGCAGTGGCAGCTACTGCATCATGTCGTATATTATGCTCCTTGTACGTATTCATCTCACAACTGGAGCTTGTACTTTTGCACCACCTTCTCTAATTTCCTCCCTCCCCCCCCCGACTTCTGGTAATCACAAGTCTTATCTTTTTCTATGAGTTTGGGTTTGTTTTGTTTTGTTTCTTTAGAGTCCATGTGTGAGATCACATGTCTTTCTTTTCTGATTTACTTGGCATGCCTTCAAGGTCTATCCATGTCACAAATGGTAGGATTCCCTCATTTTCTGTGGCTGAGTAATATTCCACTTTATGTATATTACCACAATCTCTTCATCCATCAGTGGACACTTAGGCTGTTCTTGGCTATTGTAAACAATGCTGCTATGAATGTGGTGATGGAGATATCTTTTTAAGTTAGTGTTTTCATTTCCTTTGGATATATTCCCAAAAGTTGAGCTGCTGAATCATAGAGTAATTTTATTTAATTTTTTGAGGAAACTCCATACTGGTTCTCATAGTGGCTGCACAGTCCCACCAACAGGGTTCCCTTTTCTATCAATGCCAGCATTTGTTATCTCTTTATTGTTTTGATGATGACTATTCAAACTGGTGTAATGTGATAGGACCTTATGGTTTTAATTTGCATTTCTCTAATGACTAGTGATGCTGGGCATCTTTTCATGTGCCTGTTGGTTTTACATATATCTTCTTTGGAAAAATGTCTGTTCGGGTACTTTGCCCATTTTTCAATTGGGTTATTATTTTTTGCTATTGAGTTGTATGAGTTCTTTACATATATTACATATTAGCCCCCTATCAGATATATGGTTTGCAAATATTTTTTTCCCATTCCAAAGGTTCTATTTGCACTTTATTGGTAATTTCTTTTGCTGTGCAGAAGCTTTTTATTTTGTTGCTTGTGCTTTAGATGTCACATCCAAAAAATCATCACCAAAACCCGTGTCAAGGAGCTTTGTTCCTATGTTTTCTTCTAGGAGTTTCATGGCTTTGACTCTTATATTTTAGTCTTTAATCTATTTCAAATTAATTTTTGTAAGTGGTATAAAATAAGGGTCCAGTTTCATTCTTTTACATGTGAAAATCCAATTATCCCAGCACCATTTATTGAAGAGACTATCTTTTCTCCCTTGAGGATTCTTGGCTCCCTCTCCAAGTATCAGGGAACCATATATGCTTGGGTTTATTTCGGGGCTCTTGATTATGTTCTGTTGGCCTATTTGTCTGTTTTTATGCCAATACCATACTGTTGTGAGGACTATGGCTTTATAGCATAGCTTGAAATCAGGAAGTGTAATACCTCCCACTTTGTTCTTCTTTCTCAGAATTTCTTTGGCTATTTGGGGTCTTTAGTGGTTCCACATAATTTTAGCAGTGTTTTTTCTACTTCTGTAAAAAAAATGCCATTAGAATTTCAATTTAATTTGTGTTGTATCTATAGATGCTCACATTGTTGCTTCCACCTGGGACATCCTCTCTCATCCACATGGTCTCTCCATAACTAAACTGCCCTTCCCATCTTACTCTCCCATTCAAACTTATATCTTCCATTAAGTTTGATCCAATCACAAAGACTCTTCTTCCTCCAAGCCCACAGGATGGTGTTTACACCTGCATTATACAGTCTCTGCTTTGTTTTATATTTTATTTATCTATCCCCAGAATAGATTCTGGGAACATTAAGAATGCTTACTTCAACTTTGTATGTTCCCACCGCATAGCAGATAATCAATGAACAAGGAAATAATCCAAGGCATAAACTGAGAAGCTGAAGGGGCAAAATGAACCATTCCTCTTTTGGCTGCTCGAAGATTTATCCATAAAAGTACCTGCTTGACTTCTAACTTGCCTTCTGAAGACATGATTCTGAGCCAACTCTTAAATGAAATATATTGTAGCAATATTATCTAACACGTTTCAAATACACAATAAATTAGAAGCACCAAAATAGAAAAGCAAAGGGTCTTCTTTTGCTTAAGGTATTAAATATACGTATTAAAAAGTATATGAAAACCACTTTTAAGACAGTTCAAACTTAAGGATTCTGACACTTGAGAGGATGTCACTGAACTAGCTAGGAAATGTGCTTGCATGGAGCCCCCTACTCACTTATGTAGCCCTTTGGGGTATAGGATGTCACTGTAAATTTTTGCCAGACAGAAGAAACTAGCTCAAATCAAGCTTATTAAAGCATAGGGAAAATATATTAGACACATGCACATGATAAGCTCATGGTACAAAATTCTCTTAATTGCAGTTTAGAGGACAAATTCAAACAGAACACCATGCATTCCTTTATGGTGTACTAACCATTGAAATAAAGCAAACAACATTATCATAAAGGGAACATGAACATTCACACACTCTAAGACTAGAAAGCATCTTATAAGGTAGTCTGACTATAACATTTGAACCCCAGATTCCATCTGTATGAAACAGACACACATACACAGTTGGCATATGACCCTGTCTTTGTGTGAAACTTTCCCACTTGAGTAAAATACTAAGTATGCTTAAGGGGACCCACATGTCTCTGAAATGCCATAAAGTAGAGGATTGGAGCAGAAAAAGATCCCATTTATGTGAGAAAACCAAAGATAAGATGGGGAAGGAAAGCAGACTTTTATTCTAGTCAAAATAGAAAAGTGAGTCTAAAATATCTTCAGACTGAAATAGAATGAGCATAATCAATAATTCAGAGAAACTGACATTCATCCAAGAGATGGATACTGTGTAGTAGTAAAATAATTATCTTGATATACAACCTGATGTGTCCTGTTACAGATTTAAACACATAAAACTACAATCAGCTAAAGGCAGCACCCATCAAAATCATTCTACCAGAAGAGTTTAGGGTAGAGTTTTCCCAAACTTAGAGAGGCATACAAATCACCTGGGGATCTTGTTAAAATGTATTAGTAAGGGTTCTCTAGAGAAACAGAACCAACAAGAGTGTATAGAGAGAGAGATTCATTTTAAGGAATTGGTTTACACAATTGTGGAGGCTTGACAAGTCTAAAATCTGCAGGGTGGGCTAGCAGACTACAGACCCAGAGGAAGATCTAATGTTGTCTTTCAAGTCTAAAGGCTGTCGGATGGCAGAATTCCTTCTTGTCCTGGAAGGTCAGACTTTGTTCTGTTCAGGTCTTCAACTGACTGGATGAGGCCCACCCACATTAGAGGGTCATCTGCTGCATTCAAAGTCTACCAATTTAAATGTTCATCTCATTCAAAAACATCTTCACAGAAACATCTACAATAATGTTTGACCAAACATTTGGGCACCATGGCCCAGTCAAGTTGCACATGAAATTAACCATTACATGCCTATTCTGATTCAGTGGGTCTAGAGTGGGCCTGAGATTTTGATTCGATTTCTAAAGAGTTCCAAGTGAGACCAATGCTACTGGTCCAAGGACCACAGCTTCCACACCCTGACCGGCAACCACGCTTGAACAGGTAGATTTGTTCAAATCTCCTATTTGAAGTCAAAACAGCTGAACACTATAAGACATAAAAGGATAAGAGACATTTGCCACCCACTGTAGCAGGGGAAAGAACAATCCACAGGGTGAAACAGGTCAGTGAAGGAGGTTCCCAACAGAAGAGTTTGTTCACCCAGATGAATGAGTCACCCCTAAAAGATTCCCACTCAGACCACATGTGTCAGCACACCTGCCAGGACGGCTGTTCACAGCAAGGCCTGATCCTGGCTGCAAGTGGTCCTAGGTATTTAGCGCATCTTAGAGCCTGGGGAATGGGGACAAATGACCAGGAGAAAACAAGGGTTTCCTGTGGTTCACTGAGATTCCCTTTAAACATGTTAGACCAGTGTTTCCTGAAATTGGGTGGCATGAAGAATGATCAGGGGCTTGTAAAAATCCATCCAGCCTTCCTTCAACAGATATTTACTGAGCCCCATC